TCCACTACGATATCATCCTCGGCAAGGGATAGTGCGAGCGCAACGATGTCCACTACAAAGCCAAGAAGCGCCAGCTACGTGTCGGATCACCAGGCAACAGGGTAAAGGTTTGCGAGAGCGGTTAGATAGATAATCCACATATCGTCGAGAGGACCAAGTCAATCAAAACCGCACACCTTAAGAATCTTTAACACTGAGATTAAAAGAGCAAAGAACGACAAAAGCCCCATTTCGATCGGCTCTGCTATTATTGAAGACATCAACAAGGCATTAAAAAAACTGAACAAGAGGAAAGACAAGCCTACGCTACGCTCGCTCAAGGACCAACTCCCAGAAGCCCTGCAGGACAAGGTGCAATATTTCATAGACGATGACAACGGAGTGGTACCTCCTCACAGACCCGGATGGGATCACGCTATCAATGTCGAGATAGACGACCAAGGGCGACCAAAACAGGTTCCCTACGGACCACTTTACGACATGTCCAGAGAGGAACTCCTGGTATTGCGGAAGACACTAACCAATTACCTTGACAAGGGATGGATCAGAGCAAGCGCGTCGCCAGCAGGCGCCCCAGTGCTCTTCGCACACAAATCAGAGGGTGGTCTACGTTTTTATATCGACTACAGAGCTCTAAACGCCATAATACAGTCTGATCGGTACCACTTGCCCCTGATACGGGAAATGCTCCGCCAGCTGACCAAGGCAAAATGGGTAACCAAAGTAGACGTTCGCGCAGCATTCCATAGACTGAGAGTACGGGAAGGAGACAAGTGGAAGACAGCGTTTAGAACGAGGTACGGTCAATTCGAATGGCTGGTCACGCCTTTTGGCCTCTGCGGCGCACTGGCAACCTTCCAGCGTTATATCAACTCTATGCTTCAGAACCTGCTTGACGTCTACGCATCGGCTTACATGGACGACGTAATCATCTACAGTGACAGGACATACAAGGACCACATGGATAAGGTCAAAGTCGTCGTCCAGAGGCTGGGCAAGGCGGGCCTCCAAATTGACATCAAGAAATGTGCTTTTGCTGTACACAAAATCAAATACCTCAGATTTATTATCCGAACAGGTGACGGCATTAGCGTTAATCCCGATAAAGTTACAGCTATCAAGCAATGGGAAACTCCAAACAACGCCAGCGCTGTCCGCTCGTTCCTTGGTTTTGCCAATTTCTACAGGGAGTTCATTCCCCTCTTTGCCACCATTGCCGCGCCTCTCAATCGCTTGACTAGGTATGGCGCACCATTCATCTGGGGAAAAGATGAGGAGAAGGCATTCCGAACACTCTAGGACCACCTTACTAGCGCCCCATTACTTATGATATTCGACCCTGACCTCGAGACAATCCTCAAATCAGACGCATCCGGGTATGCTATCGGCGCTACCCTCTCCCAGACCGATACCCAAGGACGCCTTCACCCGGTTGCCTTTTTTTCTCGCAAGTTAACATCAACAGAAGCGAACTACAAGATATACGATAAGGAACTGCTCTCCATTATTACCACCATGGTCCACTTCAGGGGTGAACTACGCAATGTCGCAACAAAGTTCTCTATGCTTTCAGATCATAAGAACCTGCGCCATTTCATGAAAGTCCAGAGACTTACAGAACGCCAAGTCCGGTAGTCAGAAATCCTCTCCCAGTACAACTTTCAGTTTACTTTCAGAGCAGGAGAAGACTCCGGGAAGCCAGATTCCCTGTCCCGCCGTCCCTAAGACCGTATCAGAGAACATGACGAACGTCTCAGGAATAGAGAGTTCCAGCTGATTAAGGAAACCTGGTTGCCATCATGCATCGAACATTCTCATGACGCCGCCGACATTCACGCTATTACTATGGCCCCAGTGAACACAAGATCCGGACAACGGATAAGCCCAACAACCCACCCCAAAGATACTACAACCATGCAAGACAAGCTGAGCGCGCCACCCCCAGGACAGCACATCTTTACTAGCCCCGAGCTCCAACACCTTTGGGATGAGGCTATAAAGTCTGACCAGACGTACTGCAACATTTATGCTTGTGTTGCAAGAGGAGACAAAGCATTACCCCCCGGCCTAGGGATTGACGTACAAGCTGTTGACTGTGAGATCAAAGGTCGGGGAGTCCTCTTGTATAGGGGATCAGTCTGGATACCTGACCATGAGCCCCTAAGAACAGCATTAGTACAACAGACGCACGACTCGCATATTATAGGACACCCGGGAAGGAACATCACAGGATGGATCTTGTAACAAAATTATTTCTGGCCTCAGCAGTATAAGATAGTATAACGCTTCTACAGGAACTGTAATGTCTGCGGCAGGTCTAAAATCTGGCGCCAGGCGAAGTAAGGACTTTTACGCCCGTTGCCTGTGCCAGATCGCTTCTTTAGCAAACTTTCTATCGATTTCATGACAGAGCTACCAGAAGAGGGGAATGCCCCATGCAACATGATAGTAATGGTCGATAGAGCGTTAGGTACAGTTACGCTCGAACCACAAGACTCTATGAAAGCCGAAGCCTGCGCCGAGAAATTCGTCTGGAACCACTTCCGCTTTCATGGCTTTCCGAACTTCATCAAGTCAGACAGAAGGAGCAACTGGGTAGGGAGGTTCTGGACTACATTCTGCCAGCTGATTCGGGTTGAGCAACGCCTTTCAACAGCCTATCATCCTCAGACAGACGGTCAGACGGAATGCATGAATTAAGAAGTCCTTGCCTATCTCCGCGCTTTTGTAGCCTATGCACAGGACAACTGGCCCAAACTCCTACCCACAGCACAACTTGTTATCAACAACAGACCCAACGCAAAGACGGGTTTCAGCCCCTTCTTTGTGCTGCATGGTTATCACGCCGACCCTATTTAACAACAACCTTCTCCCCGCTCCAAGACATCAAAAGACCCCAAAGCAAAAGCAGAAGAGTTTGTCACGCGCCTTTATGAGGCCCAAGAGATGGCTCAGGCTGCAATGGCCACAGCGCAGCAGATAATGGAGCACCATGCCAACCGAGGCCGACGCCCAGCAGAAAAATTCTGGACGGGCGACAAAGTGTGGCTCAACCTCAAAAATGTCTCGACTCCACAATTGAAGAAGAAGCTCGCCTGGACACACACCAAATATGAGATCATCAAAATGATCTCTCCTGATGTCTACGAGCTAAACGTCCCGGGCAATATTAGGAAACGTTTCTTTGTTGACTTATTACGACGTGCTACGGAGGATCCCTTCCCATCTCAAAAGGTCGATGACACACAACCACCTCCACTTCTTGACAGCCCTGACCTCTTATGGTCAGTCGAGAGAATCCTCAGTGCCCAGAAATTTGGAAACAAACGGAAAGTCTTGGGAAAATGGACAGAATATATCAAGCCAACTTGGGAACCTTGCGAGAATCTCACACTGACAGACGCGTTCAAGAAATTTGTACACAAATACGGCGAGGGTGACAACATAGGAGAAGACAACGTCGGGGCGTACACAGGTTCAACGGGCAAGAAAAAGAAAGGAAGAAAAGCTCGGCTTAGAGCATGACAAGGCCCTGCCTTAAGAAAAAAGGAGGGTGATGTTACGGTATTATGTAATACCTCTATATATCTTTGTACATATATACCCTATCTTTCCCTTTCTTTTTCTTACCTTGTCTCTTCTTCCTTAGATATCGTTGAATCTAGATATTTCATCCTATCAGCCCTGACCAGCGCAGCTGCAGGCCTGATTGTCACACAGGACACCTCATCCGATCCACCCGCATCCATAATCTACACTGCACCATTACACGACAGAAAGTTCCGGTACGCCTCCCAAATCCGCAATCTGTCAACAAGGTCGGTATCCGCGTATTCTAACAATCGTCTGTGACGTGTTTGTACCTATGAAGAATCTATTGTGGGCTACCGGTGTCCAGGATGGCAATGGTTAGCGGTTCCACGTGTAAATGCCACGCTAATACATAACTAACGAGAAAGTTCTTACGAGAAAGTTCTTAAGTTCTTATAAAAGTTCTTATAAAAGTTCTTATAAAAGTTCTTATAAAAGTTCTTGTAAAAGTTTACACGTGGAGCCGCTAACCATTACCATCCTAAACACCTGTACGTGGCCTCAAAATGCCCCTTAACCTTGTTTAATGCACTGTCGCCTTCCTGACAGGCCGACACCATGCCGACTTGCGCATTCGTCTTCGCCACGTGAAATACGGAACTGAACTTAACAGACGGTGCTGCCCGAGAAAGATGAGCCGGTGATTCCGAGAAGTGCTGATAGGGGATGAGGCGTTGGTTGGGATAGGGATTGCTACAAGGAACAATACCTATCCCCTTGACCTTAGAAGAAGGTGACGGGGATGGGGCGAGATCGTCAGGCTCATTGTCAATTCGACATCGATGGCTTCGATACAGGAGGTGACAGACACATGGCAAGCAACATTTGGTGTCCCTTCGTGTGCGGGGGCAGGGCGTCATACCTAGCTGAGAGCTCACCGAGGTGAAAGGTGGAAGCCGTCTATCACATGAAAGACACCGCCACTCTACGAAAACGAAGCACCAAGCAAAATCAATTAGACACACTCATGATGATGCACTGCTGTTGCAATGCTATCCAGAAGCGAAGATACCCCAAGCAAGCCAGGACTCTCCCATTCCTTCCGGGAACCGGGTATCTCGATACGCTCACTAGATACTGGAGAGACACAAAAATAGACAACGCTTTCCCTCTTTCTCATCCAACAGAACGCCGGAACAATGGTGACTCGATGGACGGAAGCGCGAATATGCAGAAACGGACCAATGGAAAACAAAGGTGCCAACAGCCCAACCACCGGAGAAATGCTACCCAGACCACGCACTCCGTATCCACGCCGTTTTTCGTACCCAAAGGTTGAGTTTTAGCCATATCATCGTGCTCTCATGTGTGCGTGTGTGCTCACTGACTCCTCCACTTGCGGTGTTCGCCTGGCTGATATCCGGGTATTCATACAGCGCGCTGCTCCCTTCGGCCTATTCTGTTTCCTCTCACTCTTTCTCGAGAAGAGGTTTGAGCACCTCCATCGCCTTCATAGACTGTTCGTTCGAGAGGATGACCGCACCAGCCCGGGCCGTGGATAGATACGACAGCTCCCCACCAACACCGGTTTCCGTCATGCGCATCTCGTCGACCAGCTTGCCCGCGACGCCCGATACGATACCCGTAGCCTCGAGGGGCAGGTTCTCGAGGTCGAGGAAGATGGGCACGAGGTCGCCTTCCAGGTCGCCGACGAGGGAGTCGCCGAATGCGTTGAGCAAGGTCCTGTCCAGCAACAACGATGGCGGGTCTTCCAGCGCGAGCGTGATAGACAAGAAACGGGGCTGCATCGCCAGCACAGATATCAGACTGGTGTATAATTTCGTATCCACATGGTCGAGCCAACTGTTCCGGTGCCCATTCCCCATCGGCTGCCGGCTCGATCCGGGGCGCCGGCTATAGTCGATCAGCTCCGAGGCGTCGCGGCCGGCACACTGCACGAGACTCAGCCCGGAGCTGATGTAAGGCACCACGTTCCGCTTCTTCAGCAATTCGAAGGTGCGAACCTGCAGTTCGGCGACGCTGGACGGCGGTGGTGTCGAGGGCGGATCGCTGCTCTCGCTCTTGCCGCGGCTGTGCGAGAGCGCCGTGGGCGATACGAAGGCCGACTCATCCTCGATGAACTCGAAGTCGCGCGCCAGCAGCGCCTTCACCACGGTGTGCCGGTCCTTGCTGGGCACGAGGATGAAATCCGAGTAGTACGTCGTAATGAAGAAGATGGGGATGCCGGCGAGTGCCAGTGGTGACGTCAGCTCCATCATGCGACTGCCGGCATCCATGGCTCCATATTCGACGGAGAGGATCAGGTAGGTGTCCTTGGATATGGTGACTGGCCTGGAGACGTCCCGGGGCAGGCTCTTGATGACTGGCTCGAAGACGTTCTTGGCCCAGCTGGAGTGGCACACGACCGAGCACTCGACGGGCGTGATGCTGATGTTGAGAAAGCCATGCTTGTTGTCGATGCTGAGGCCCTCGACCTCATTGGCCAAGGAGTCGTCTCCGCCCTGGGGGAGGAGGACTTGTAGTATGGGCTGCAGAAAGGTCGGGTAGAGGTCCAACGGGATATGTATTAGGCTGAAGGTCCCTTCCTATGTCATCATGGTGATGAGAACTTGCGATCTCTTTGGGGTCGTCTCGCGAGAACTTTCGCTGGGTTTTGTGATGCAGTGTGTGGGATGGGTGGTGGTGCTTGGCTTAAGTACACGAATAAAAGTGAAGTGCCCCGCAGCCAGGAGCGAAGCGTGACGATTTTATGACGGAAGTCGTGGTGTTGCACAAGAAGGATTTGAAGCAAGGGGCTGAGATCAATCTGCAACCAAAGAAAAATTAAAACAGAAAAATAGCTACTCACCAGAAACGATATCTGGGCGTTCATTGTATCGATGCTGGATTTGTGACGTCTGGAACCGCAGATGGTCGTCGACACATTCGGAGCCCCGAAAATCGGGGACGGGGACCCCTAAAAAAGCACAGACAGAGTTTGGTGGTGAGGGGTTGCCGGGAGATGGGTATAAGTGTGTGTGAGGACGGCGAGTCGTGATTGGCGAACTCCGACAATGACACCCCTTTCGAGACGTAGTCTTATATTCGATGATTGGCCTTGGCGTTCCTCGAAGTGTGAATGCGTGACTCGGGTCGAATGTTTGTTTTCTTTGTGAGATGGGCGGGAAGAAAGAAGGAATGAGTCGACGGCTGGACTAACGAAACCGGCGTCCAGTTGGTAAAGTAGGGGTAGGTTGGCAGGTTGGGCAGACACAACAAAGAGAAATATGTCAGGATAAAGTATAGAAGCCCACCTGCGATGTGTCAGGTAGAGATCGGGCTGTCAGTCGGAGCTGCTGTGGACCACCGGACTGAGGCTAGTCCAGGCGGGGTGTAGATGGCAGTAGAGCTGATGGAGCAGTTTCTACACACATGCCAGAACGCTGAAGATACCCCGACCTAATAATTATTTCTCAGCTGAAAGGGCGCCTCTTTTTGAACCATCTCCTCCCGAGTCAATGTGGATATGGATACTGCAGGGGCAACATGGCACCACTGATGATGATGATGCGAGATGGAGCTGTGGTGGTGGTGGTGGTGGTGGTGGTGTAGTAGCAGCGACGTAAAGCTGCAGAGTCGCAGACGGGATTTGCAGATCTGCGCTGCCAACGGCGGGCCAGAAAGGTCCAAGGCCGATGTGGTGTTCCACGGCAGCAGGCAGCACGGGCTTGCTTGCTCATCAAGTATCGACCGCGGATGGCAAGGTGCTGGCTGTACCCTGCAGAGAGCCCAAAGCAGATCCCCAGGACGAACGAGCCCTCGACTGGACCAACAGGAACGAGCCGTCGTGAGAAGTGCACCGGTACAGTATCCGTCGGTGACTCCTGTGCCAGACCGACCGGTGGACGGGAGGCGACCGAGGCCCGAGGTGGGGGGGGTTCGCAACCTTATTTATATTTATTATGTATCTTCGCCGGTCATGTTGCAATATGTCGTCGTCCCCTCGTCCCTTCGTCCAGTCGCATCGTGAACGGTTAACCCACGCGCTGCGTGTTCCTGGGCACGAGCAGGGAGCCTTCATGCACGCCATCTCTGCTGCCCCGAAAGGGGTAACCCGCGGGCTGTTGCGTGCAGGCAGGCCGGTCGAGAGTCACACCCAGCCTCCCCCCAGGGGACTACCAGGCCTGTCCTCGTCCATTCTGTGGTCGACATGTCGTGAGAGCTAGCTCGCTTTGGGCGCGTCTTGCAGGACTGCACTCTAGGATTGTGGAGTACATATGCGAGTCCATGGTTCATGGTTCAGACGTGGGGGTCGCTTTCGAGCTTTACAACAATGTTCCCGGGTGTTGTGTAACCTGCAACTCTTGCGAACCCTGCAAGAGTTGTGAGACAATGCTGCGTGATGATGTCTGTTGGAGAGGGTGAGAGGCCGTAGAGGGGCCCTATATTACTTATGGCTTGCTATAGAGTAGTCCAGCCTCTGTGGAACTGCGGGCAAAGGTCCAGATGTCTTATTATTAAACAATTCAACGTGCAAATGTGACCTCGTCCAGAGGTACATATCGATGTTAGGTACTCCAGTAGTTAACCGAAGGTGGTGAAGTCGAGTATACCCTTATGTTGTATTCTCTGTGCTTTCGTCCCTTGAGTCTTGAGTTCCTGGATGCTCTGCCCCGCATTTGCCCATCTCGAATCGCCGACTCTGCTTAAGCGAGCGTGGGTGGCCAGCAGAGTGGTGGAATTCTACGGAATCCTGTCCATTGAACATCACATCAAATTACCAATTCCCATATCCATTGACCTCAATGGAAACCAATGTAGCTACATCCCTTAGCTGGTTGAAAATATATGGTGGCAAATTTGGAATCTGCACGGCATCTCTGCCTGTCCCACCACGTCTGGTCGAGGTTGGGGGTCCCCGACCAATAATGCCGCGGCTCCGTTATGAGCTGCACAGGAACGCAACCGCGGGTGTCATGGTCCAGGGGTCCAGTTCCAGAGGCTCTCCAAAGCCGTGTGTAACCATCCTTGGAGCGGGCAACTTCATGCTTACCGTTATCGAGTGGGTTTCGGTAAATAAGAAGAGCTGGCTTCCGTCGTCGTCGTCGTCGTCGTCATCGTAGCCATACCTACATCACAAATATCGACCCTGCCTGGCAGCAGTTCGTAGCCCTGACTATGTATATTGGTATTGGGGGTTTATTGCTGCCGGGTCCCTTATGGGACAGCCGAGGTGGGGTGGCGGTGGGCGTGAAGGATTTCGTTAGTAGATTTCTCCTCATGGTATGACTTGCAGGTAGAGCTAGCTACAGCCTACGCGGGCCAGGCGGGTATCTCGTGTGCGAGCTCGTCAGGAAGACTGACGGATGTTTCCGCATCGCATAGTGGGTTCCAGCTCAACCTGGCATGTCTCCATAGCTCTCGGTCAGCGAATAGGTACTGTAGGTAGACAAGCCCCTTCTGAGAAGGGCCTTCTCGATATGTGCAGCTCGTGGAGCCCAGCAAGACAGAGCAGAGCCACCGGCGTCTTTCCGACCTGATCGCTTGAATAAACATTGAAACCCGGGCTCTCCAGAATTGGCTGCACTGCTCAGTGTCAAGCGTAGGTCAAGTACCATCTGCACTCTGCTGTCCTGCCACAGTCCACAACATATATGATATCACGACGCAGGTTCATGCATGACATCAGGTTCTGGTGGATGGATGATCGGTTGTCGTCTCAGTTTGTCCGATAACCGACCTATCACCTGAAACCGTCATGAGATCTGTTGCGGGGCTGATAGGTAACCGACGACGGTCAACTTGAACTCGTCGCGGGAACTAGCGCAAGATCTCGGGTCATGATGGGTACAACAATTGGGTCTTTGGATTCTGCAGTATCTGACGTGGTAGTTGGTCGGATATCAACTGGCCAACCCCCCTCACAATAACCTCGGAAGTAAGTCATCGTGAGCTACGGAACAAAGTAATGGCACTCAAATCCCGGATCTAGATGCCGCCCGCTGTCAGGGATCAATCAGGTCGCTTGATCCCGACAACCACCAGATTTCGGGGACTCTCCCGATAGTCAAAGACCGTCTCAGCCCAACAGTGCTTGACGAGATCCGAGTGCTGCCGGAGGAATAGCCACCGGTCCGTCACGATCAGCGACTCGACGACGACGGCGCTGAATGCCATCAGGCTCCACACCGCGCTGATCTCCCGCTTCCGCGGGCCGTAGACGGCCTCGTACCGCGTGATCTCGTCGTCGGTGATGCTGCCCATCTTCTCGCGGATCGTGGCGCTGTAGGAGTGGTACTCGGAGTTGGTGGTCAGTTTTGTTATTGCTCCTCTCACGTAGGCCTGGAACGAGGTGTAGCAGGCTTTGCGGAGGGAGCCGATGATGACCGGGTTGGTGCTTGTGTTGAACGGACTACTCTGCGGTGAGCCGTCGTCGGCGGCGCTTTCTTGTGGTGCTTCGCCTCCTCCGTTGTGGTGGTAGATCTTCCCGATGACCCCCCGATCGAGGAAGATCTTCTGCAGCACGGCGCGGAAGTAATGTCGGTTGAAGAAGGCATCGCTCTCGGCCTCTGACCAGTTCTGCGGGGCCTGGCACGCCATCATTTGCGCGGTGATGTTCAGACGAACACCATCGCCTTGATAGGTGCACAGTCGTTCACTCATGGGGAACCCTTCAGGGTCTCGCTTTGCTGACTCCCTAAGCACACGGCCGTTCATGGCTTGGAGACTGGGTCTCATGTAGGGATGTTTGTAGGTAGGAGGGCCTAGTTTCTCGGTCATGAGGTTATAGCAACAGCCTACGATGGCGATGGCTCGGACGTGTGGATTCAATACCAACGAGCGTATGCCGTGATGAGACAGGTTACCGCATGAATGGATCGAGATGGCCATGAGACGTAAATCCTTCTGGTCCCGGTTGTTGTCAATCAAGGACTTCTCCTCTAATTGACCGACAACATCTGCCAGGTCGCCAGACTCTAATCGTCCCGTAACATAGCGTATGAAGCCTTTGCCCTCCTCAGGGGCGTATACGGGTTGTTCGAAGTCCGCTCTGGGCCGGAAATCGGGGACATGGTCCTCGGAAATCTTGAGCGCCTTCGCAGCTCTCCTCAGCGCCTTCGGATCCAACTTGTCCTCAGGAGTCATGCTGTCGAGTTGCTGCAGAAAGAGTTTCTTGTTCCGCATTATCTTGGGTTTCTCAGATACGCCGGCAAACATGTCGAGCTCTTTAGCACTGGCGATGTTGTGTTCTCTGCCTTCCACCGCGACAATCTGCTTGTTGTACGGCGCACTGGCCAAAGCCCGTCCAAGGTAGTTTTGGCCGCTGCCGAAATCAACGAAATGCGTGATTTTCTGGTGGCACTCGGCTGCGATATCATCGCTGAGTTTGCCCACGTAGCTTGCAAAGTTCCTCACCTCGTGGATCTTCTTCGGCTTCATGCCAACCGAGACCTGGCGCGTCAGCTTCGGCAGTTTGTCCTCATCTGAAGAACACTCGCGAGCCAACGCAAACCGCCGTATGTCCCTGATATACCCCAGAAGACTCTCAGGCGGCCTGGGTTCCTGTTCCTCGAGCGCATCGAGGTCGTCTCTCATGAGGAGGTCTAGTAATCTCATAGAATCACATTGGAGGATGAAAGCTTGCCAGTCTGGCGGCACGACGCTGCTGAAGAGACTCGGCTCGCTCGTGAAAAAGTCCAGGATGTGGACGCCTCCGCATAGAATCTGGAAGGTCTCTGAGGTGGTCGCGAACTCCAGGAGCCGCTCGACATATTCGTCAGGGTCGCTCCAGCAGTCTGGGTAAGGCAGGGGTTTTGAGGGTATCATGTCGCGACTGGATAATGATAAAACAACAACTGCCCAAGTGCGGAAATTCGCATATTACGCGATGGCTTCAGAAGAATGGTGCGACAGATCTATTAGTCAAGCATTTGATACCTCGACATTTTTTCTATTCGCGGGTGGTATGTACCTAGGTCCCTTCAATTTAGTTATTTTTGGGCGCTGCAGGTGTCCGTTGGCGGGCAGCTGGCCGTCCACTCACACGTCATCCCACAACGTGGTTCTCGGCTCAGCCAGCCAGGTTGCCATCCATTGGATTGCGTCCATCCATCCATCCATGCACGCATCCATCCCTTATTCTATCTACCATTATACCGCGCGCCGCCAGCCATTACCCAACAGCTCGAAACCACCACCGCGTATCCTCCGACCAGGGAACGTTAGTACAAGAAACTATGTGCAGATGTAGCCGGTAGACGGTAGATGGTAGATGCGCGCGAGTCCAACCAGATCCGACTCCGAGCCGGCAGGATGATGTCCTCAACTAACGAGGAGGACCCCTTCCTCCAAGTCCAACAGTAAGTACGCACCACCCCCACACACCTACACCTAGGTCAAGCCCCGTCCCCAACTGCTCAGGCACATCCAACTAACGCGCTCGCTCCCCGTGCCGCAGAGATGTCCTCTCCCAGATGCAAACCGCGCGCCCGCTCTTCGCCTCCTACCTACGGATCCGCAGCCTTCACAACACCACCACCACCTCGAACTCGCCGGAGCTCAGCTCCGCGCGCTCCGATCTAGAATCCGCGCTCACGACGCTCGCCGAGGACCTGGCCGACCTGGTGGAGTCGGTGCGCGCCGTCGAGTCCGATCCGGCCGCCTTCGGGCTGTCGGCGCACGAGGTCGCGCGCCGGAAGCGGTTGGTGCAGGAGGTTGGGGGCGAGGTCGAGGATATGCGCGAGGAGCTGCATAAGCAGACCGCTGCCACCTCATCAGCAGCGGCAAAGGCGGCCGCGGCGAAAGCGGCCGCGAACGGCGACCTCCCGCACCCGAGCGCGTTCGCGATCGATTCCCACAGCGGCCCCGGAATACCAGGAGAGGAGGACGGCGATAACTACGGCAACGACAACTACGCCGAATTCGAGCAACAGCAACAATTAGCCCAGATGCGCGACCAGGACGAGGCGCTGGACGGCGTGTTCGTGACGGTGGGCAACCTGCGGCGGCAGGCCGACGTCATGGGCCGCGAGCTGGAGGAGCAGCGCGAGATGCTCGAGGAAGTCGACACGCTGGCCGACCGCGTCGGGGGCCGCCTGCAGACCGGCGTGCGCAAGCTCGCCTACGTCGCGCGCAAGAACGAGGACCGCTGGAGCGGGTGCTGCGTCGCGCTGCTGATTGCTGTGCTTATTATACTGCTGGTTTTGCTTCTGGTACTGTAATAAAAGAAGGGAGGGTAGGAGAGAAGAGATGACGGCGAGATGAGACGTCTGCGCTCCTGCGCGGGGACTACATTAATGTTACTACTAGATGACGAGGTTCACGTCAGAGGTTCTATCTGTATTATTTGGGTTAGACACGTTATTATGCGAATGCGAGGCGTCCATGATGCTCTTTCCAACTACATTTTCGCTCCTGGTGATATTGATCACCATGACTGGGTATATGCCAGAGAAATACAAATATGTACACGTTTCATCTGCTGCACTGTAGACGTCGTCCGCATGCTAGCTGTCTTCCACCAAATGAGGACTTGAGTGGGCCCCTCAACGCCGTTTCCTCCTCATGCTTCGCTTCCCCCTTATCCCAGAGCCCCTACATCGTGTCTAATTCGTAGCCACTTGTCATGTAGATCAAAGCTCTAGTCCTATATCCCGTCTGAACATCTGTCCCAGAACCAACAGGCCTGAGACACCGGGCGTCTTGATTTCAGCCCTGTTGGGAAAGTCCACTAGCGCCTTCCGGAGAGCGGCGATGGCTGCGGTTCCGTAGAAAGAACAGAATCGTTCCTCAGACACCTCAATCATTGCTCTCAAAACCACGGCGTGTGTGTTGGTTATCTCGGCCGAGGGCGTGTTGACAATCTTTGCGAAGCTCGCCCAGTACCTCGAGGGTGGCCACGGGTTCGTATTGGGTGACTTGGAGAAGTCTCGCAATGCGATTGCCGCGTATCCTACACCTAAGCCCTTCATTCTGTCGGTGTGTTGCTGCTCGGGTACCCACGACGCCCCTTTCTCTCTTTTCCAGCCCAAGCGCTTGCGGCCCTGCTCTGTCTTCTCGCTGCCCCTATACCCGAAAAGGACAGGACAGACCACTCGAAACTTGGCCATAAGAATGTCGATAAGCGTTTTGCCACGCCACAAGAAGGACTTGTTGGAGAAGATCATCGCGACGATAACACCAACAGGGTCAGCCATTAGCGGCTGTGCTCCACACTCGTCGATGAATTGGTTGATCACCGCTTTGGAGAAGGTGTTCAAAAGGTAGATGAACAGGGATGGGAGCTGTCGTCCATTGTGTATGGCACCTTCGGATGGCTCTCGTCTGTCTGTGATGTAGTCCGCAGGATCAACCAAGGCACTGGGGACAGAACCACTAATGGATTCATGAAGTACTCTCTGGATCGCTTCAATCTGCAAGTTGGTCAGCCAATGTTGCAAGATAAATGGTATTTATGCTGACCTGGACTTTATTGCCTCCCTTCGCGTTTACCAGTTGGCCCATGTTCTTTCTTAGCTCTCGTCTCATATCGCCCATTCGCGCTTTGAGCGGCGGCAACGACTTTGCTTGCTGCGCTAGTGAGGCACGTAACCTTTTCAGATTCTGGTGTATCTGAACATATCGGTCGTTGTCCGAGACAATAGCGGTTGTAGCAGCGGGTTGGGTAGCTTGACCATTCTGTTGAGAGGTTGCTTGTCTCGCAAATGGATTCGCCGCAGCGGGTTGCGCAGAGGGACCTGTGATGGAGGGTTGTGCAAATGGATTTGTGGCAGAGGGCTGCGCGAAAGGCGATGGCCTGGCGGATGACAGAGCTTGTGGTGGTTGTTGGGATGGTTGTGCTGGAGACGGCACCTCCGCTTTGGTCCCATTGACCTGGGGCAGCCCGGAAACTGTACTGCTTGTGGTAGCAAAAGTTGACGCTTTCGCATTGAGCGACGACTGTACTTGAGGGGCAGCTGATGGAGTAGGTTCGGGCTGTTTCGGAGCAGCTGATCGGTTGACTGTCGAGGCTGGGGGGGAAGGTGGAGGTGGGGGTAATTGCGGTACGGTCTTCGCCTTGAGGGTGCGCAGTCGCTCTTCTTCAGCCCTGAGGTGTTCTTCGGTCCGTATGCGTTCCTCTTCAAGCCTCTGCTGCTGACGTATTCGTTCTTCTCGTTCTCGCAGCTTCTTGTGTTCCTCGTGTAATTCATGCTCCCTGAAGACTCTTATGGCAGCTTCCCGAACGCGGTCGTGCTCTGCTTGGGCTGCATTGAGGGCATCTTGGTGGCTCAGCTCGGTATGCCTGTTCTCAGACAGCAGATCGGACAAGCGATCGCGGTTGGGACTCGACCATTGATGCGTCCTTCGCGCGGCTGGAGAGGAGCCAGCCATTGCAAATGAGGAGCGGCGCTTATGGTTGCATAATACAAGTGAGGTAGAATCAGGCAAACGCAGTGGAAACAATGCTGAAGGTGCAAACGAGGTGCAAGACAATAAAGAGCGAAGAGTGGGTGAGAGTGATGGTGGTCTTAGATGGGATGGTGCTTCAATGTTCTTCACGACGCAGACGCGATTAGGTGCATGCCCGCGATTCTGCCGGATCTTTTTGACAAGGCGGTGTGGCGGTGAGCGGCAACCAGTACGGCTGCTCCACTATTAGCCTACGCTCGGACCAGATGCACCCTCTGGACGCGAGCGTTCAATAGCGCGAAGGAGGTGGTCCGTGGCTCTTCTAGGTAGTATGTAGCGCGCTTGAAACAGAAATGCCACAATTTGCAACTTGAATGCATGCCAGAAACACAGCCAAATCGACATTGGCCAGCCATTGCTTCGAGGCTGAAGCCCGTTGTGGAAAGCTACCTACTATCAAGTGGTTATGGTAAGCCTCCAGACGCTTCACTACTTATACATGCATGGCATGGTACCTATCTGACCTTCGCCCATCCCACAGCGGCCATTTGTAGCTGCAGCTACTCCATTACATCCACCAAGCTGGGGATCTCGAACGAGTGGTTTCCGAGAGGATCTATATCATGAGAGTTGGGTACAATGAAGTCATTACCATCTGGGTAGTGCCTCTTCGAGATTCGCCTAAGCCCTGGCGAAAGTGTTCGCAAGTATTGGCAGTAGGTTGGTTCTGTAGATATATTTGCATCACTAGCTCTCTGACTCGACGTCTAAGCTCCTCAGCAACTCTCAATGACCATGATGTGGTCTTGTTGTTGGAAAGCTGCGAGACTCTTGCAAAGTTATCGTTCAGTCATCCCATCTCAGGATCGCAAAGTCTCCTGTTCAAGCGGTCTTTTCGGTAAACTGGTACATATATATATATAATCAGCCATACTTATGGAACTTTCCGAGAGTTGAGACCCCCGCCTCACCTCATCCTCGTCTTCCGGAGCTAGGTATGTTCACCCTCGCGGGTGAGCGTACGAAGAGACCCCAAGCTTCAGTGACCTCAGTGACGATCATCTCTAATCACAAAGAGGGCTTAGGGTAATCGGCACACACGCAGACACGGTAGGTAGATGCGTCGTGTTCCAGGTTTCAGTGCAACCCAAGAACAGTCCGTCACAATCAGCATGTCTTCCACTGGTTAACCTTCAGCTGCTTGCTGGTTTCCTGCATATATGTTTTGCGGTTTGTCGTGTGGCAGCCATAATGGTGGTTCCCATCGCGTGTCTTTGGTATCGACGAGCCGAACTCAAAGTGCTTCTTTCTGTTCTTCGAAAACTCTAATGGGCCCTACTTTCAACGAGAATGACAAATGACAAAATGCGCCATCTGAACTCTCCTCAGGGACATCCATCCGTTTTTCAGTTTGAGCCTGGGTAGCTTGGGCCCCCGTTGCCCCCCGTGGGTGGTGGACATAGTACATAGACTACATCTACCCTTGGGGCCAGTCTAACCTTCCTCATTGCGTAGCTCTTGCCAGTTCTGCCCAATAGTAGCCCCGAGAGGCGGCCAAAGCGTTGCCCCATTTAGTCCCATCCCCCCTCGCTCTGGTCTTTTTGGGCGCTGACCTCACAGGCGACCAGGCCTGCTTCCCCCGTCCGTATCCCAGCAGCAGCCCCAGCAGCAGCCACAGCACCACGGTTGGCAGTACCACGGCACCCCCCTGGACAGTGGAGTGGACAGTACTAGGTGTCCGTCCGTTGAGCTGGAGTGTCTTCAGTGTCTTGAGCGAGAAAGCCACAGAACGACATCTCTCCCGAAAGCTCCCCATCTTCGCCTCTTGAGTCTTCGCTCATCCACCATCACCACTCCTCTCCCTAACTTTCCATCTGCCAACCGTCTCTCGGAAAACATCACGTTCCTTCCCTTGGGATTCCCCAGCATCCACAACGGCATTGAAACCACTTCCATCCTCTCATTTACCATCCTTTGGTGTCGTCGCATAGTCCACGCAGTCACAAACCACCAAACCACCAAACCACCAAACCACCAAACCACCAAAACCCACCCCAAAGACCACACCTGTCCAGCGATAGCACCACAACCGCTTCTGAAGCTCCAAACAGCATCGGCAACTGCCTCAATCATACATCCGGCTCTCTAGATACCCATCAACCACCCAACTTTCCGCACTCGACGTGCAACAATCGCACTGCTCGCCCACTATGGAGCAGCAGCAGCAGCAGCCTCCTCAGCCTGGAGGTGTTCCCGGACCTACGGGGCGTCGCCTTCACATCGCCCATCGCAGGAGCCCATCCGAGCTAACTCCATTGATGAGCATGTTTGCTAATCCTGGAAGTAAGTATTTCCAAGCTCCCTCTCTCGTCTGCCGTCTAGGCCGCTTCTAGAGAGTTTGCCAAGTGTTTTGGTGTATTGCCGTCATCGTAGCTAACCAGCTGCCTGTCTTTGTCTTCAGTGGAGCAACTTGCTATTCAGCAGCAAATCGAGCTCTTGCAGCAACAGCAACAGCAGATCCAAGCTACGCATCAACAGTACATGAACATGGGAATGATGCCGCCTGGCCAACTCGGCGCTGGTGGCCAGTTCAACCCCCTGCAGCCGAACATGGCCAACATGGCACCCCAGGCTGCCTTCCAGTTCCCCAACCAGGTTCCGCAGCAACAGCAGAACATTCCGATGGGAGGACCGCCCAGTCAGCCCATGTCACACCGTCGAAATCAGTCGGCCCTCCCTAACATGGGCATGGGACCTCCCCCCGCTCCTTCCACTGGCGCTTCCGGCTCGACCTTCGGACACTTCGATAGCAGTAACGCTTCCGGCCACAACCGCGAGAATACACCTCGAGGCGGCGGGCGAGGGGGTGGAGCTGGCGGCGGCGGTCATCAGCGGAGACACTCTTTAGCCCTGGCCGATGCTAAGAAGGCCGCAGAGATTGCTCAGCAGAAGCGAACAACTTCTGGCTTTCAGTTTCCTGGGCCGGGTGCTGCCGAGCCAGGCGCATCTGCCGAAGAACCGAAGAGCAGCGCTGCGGAAACCCCTATAGCACAGGGCTCATCTACTCGAGGCGGACGGGGTGGCGGACACGGACGTAGCCAGAGTATGGCAGTTCACGGTCGAGGAGGTGCCCGTGGCGGAGGCGCGATGAACTTCAACAACATTGCCACCGAGGTGGGCGACTTCTCCCGTCGCGGCGGTGGCGGCCAGAGCGGCGGCCATGCTCGAACCTCTTCCCGAAACTTCGAGGGCAACTGGCGCAACCAGCAAACCCAGAACCAGGGCCAAGACCAGGGTGGTCAGGCTCAGCAGAGTTTCCAACCCGGCCACCGTGGTCGCGGCTCCATGAGCCAGTCCATCTCCTCCATCGGAGCGTTCCAATATCCTGGCCAGTCCCAGATCATGCAAATCCCCGGACAAATGCCCATGATGCAGATGTACCCTGGCCAGCAGCTCAACCCCATGCAGCTGAACCAGCTTCAGGCTCTACAGGCTGCTCAGATAAACGGAGGGCACGTTGGTCTCCAGGGAAGCCAACACGCGCCGCAGCTTGGCGGTCAGCAATCTCAGCAGCAACAGAGAAAGACGCTCTTTACCCCTTACCTTCCCCAGGCCACTCTGCCCGCGCTGCTTGGCGACGGGCAGCTCGTTTCTGGCATTCTGCGAGTGAACAAAAAGAACCGCAGTGATGCGTACGTGTCCACCTCAGACGGTCTCCTTGATGCGGATATTTTCATCTGTGGTAGCAAAGATCGCAACCGAGCCTTGGAGGGTGACCTGGTTGCTATTGAGCTCCTTGATGTCGACGAGGTTTGGGGCCAAAAGCGCGAAAAGGAAGAGAAGAAGAAGCGAAAGGACATCACTGATACCCGATCTGGTTCTGTCAGCGGTAATGGGCCGTCCAATTCGGCCAATGGAGAAGAAGCAAACACCGGCGAAGGAGGCATCCGTCGACGAGGTAGTCTGCGACAGAGGCCTACCCAGAAAAAGAACGATGACGTGGAAGTAGAAGGACAGAGTCTGTTGCTGGTGGAGGAAGAGGAAATCAACGACGAATCCAAACCTCTCTACGCTGGGCATGTCGTTGCCGTCATTGAGCGGGTTGCTGGCCAGATGTTCTCGGGAACTCTCGGTCTGCTGCGACCTAGCAGTCAAGCCACAAAGGAGAAACAAGAAGCCGAGCGTGCAGCCAGAGACGGTGGCCGATCGCACGACAACCGTCAGCAAGACAAGCCCAAGATTGTCTGGTTCAAGCCCACTGACAAGCGTGTCCCCCTCATTGCTATTCCTACCGAGCAAGCGCCACGCGATTTCGTGGAGAAGCACCAGGACTATGCTGATCGCATCTTCGTTGCGTGCATCAAGCGCTGGCCAATCACGTCTCTGCACCCCTTCGGTACTCTTGTCGAGCAGCTGGGCAGGATGGGCGACCTGAAGGTGGAAACCGATGCCCTGCTGCGCGATAACAACTTTTCCTCGGATGAGTTCTCGGAGGCTGTTCTTCGAAGCGTTGGCCTTCAGGATTGGTCCATCGCCAAGGAAGACGAGGCTTCCATTGCTGCTCGCCGAGACTACCGCGGCGAGACGACCTTCACTCTCGATCTGGCCGGTACTGGAGAGCTGGGCGATGCTGTCCATGTGAAGACCGAGTCTGACGGGAAGATCGAAATAGGTATTCACGTCCCTGACGTCACCCACTTTGTCAAGCCTAACTCGCTCGTGGACCGTGAGGCCAAGAAGCGTGGAACCGCTGTTCACTTGGTGAACCGCACATGTGCCTTGCTTCCTCCCAAGATCGCATCTGAGCTCTGCACACTCACTCCAGGAGAGGACAGACTCACAGTCAGTGTCGTCTTCAAGGTCAACCCTCACACAGGAGCCGTTGCGGAAGAGGATACGTGGGTAGGCAAGAGTATGATCAAGAGCGCTGCCAAGTTGGCTCTCAAGGATATCGACGATGCCCTAGCAGGTGCCGCTGACTTCAAGCATGAGGCAGCCCAGGTCAAGGATATACAGATTCTCAACGTAAGTTCGCTTCACGCCGTTGACATCTAGCTGTTGCTCACCCGTTTCTAGGCTGTCGCACAGAAGTTCCAAGAGGCACGACTGGGATCTGAGGGTGAACCGACTGCCCCGCTCCGCCTACTTCACCAACTTGATGATGAAAACATTCCCATCCAGCACAACATATTTGATTCCACACCTGGAACTGAACTTGTCGAGGAGCTCTTGCACAAGGCCAACGCCTACGTGGCGCAGAAGCTTGCTCAAGGACTCCCCGAGAAAGCCTTGCTCAGGCGACAAGGAGCACCCAACGCTCGCCGTTTACAGACCTTTGCCGAGCGCATGAGGGCCATTGAATATGAGATGGATACCACCAGCAGTGGAACACTCCAAAACAGTCTGTTCAAGGTTGATGACACCGATATTCGCAAGGGCATGGAGACTCTGCTACAGAAGACCATGCACCATGCCAAGTATTACATCGCTGGCAAGACCAACAAGCAGCTCTGGCCTCACTATGCCCTGAACCTACCTCTCTACACTCATTTCACGGGTCCCACCCGACGGTATGCAGACATCATGGTTCATCGCCAGTTGGAAGCAGTGATTTCCGAAGGCAACATCGAGTATGGCGAGGAGATTGAGAATCTGGTGAAGACGATTGAATCCTGTAACACGAAGAAGGAGTCGGCCCAGAACGCTCAGGAACAGAGTATCCACATCGAGTCATGCAGAATCATGGACAAGAAGCGACAGGAAGTCAACGGCGACTTGATCAGCGAAGGCATCGTGATCTGTGTTTACGAGTCTGCCTTTGACGTTCTCATCCCCGAATGGGGCTTTGAGAAGCGCGTGCACTGCGATCAGCTCCCTCTCAAGAAGGCCGAGTTCAGAAAGGAGAAGAGGGTGTTGGAGCTGTACTGGGAGAAGGGAGTCCCAAGCTCGGCTTACGTGCCAGAAGACGAGCGACCGAAGGCGGCCGCATCGCAGCGGGCTTCGAATGCGATGGTAGCTGCTCGGCAAGCAGAAGAGGCGGAGCGGGTCAGAAAGGAGCGCGAAGAGGCGGCGCGGAAGCAGACCGAGACGGGCACCATGTCGACGGATGACGTCGATGCCCTGTTTGACGATGATGACGACAACGCGTCCGACATCACCGAGGCCATGGCCGGTGCGTCGTTGGCGGAGCGCCCGACTCAGAGCGTTCCCGGCTCGCCTGCCCGATCTTCATCCAATGCTGCCGGCGTGCTCCACCGTACTCGATCCGAGTCCAAAGTGCCCAAGGCGGAAGCTGTGGAGACGCGTCTGTCGAACAAGGAGAAATACCTCAAGCACTTTGCGCTGAGAGAGGTTGGCGGCGACTACATCCAGGACGTCACAGAGATGACGAGAGTTCCTGTGATCCTCAAGACGGATCTCACCAAGAGCCCACCGTAAGTAGATGGGAGCACCCTACCAATTGACTTGCAAGATTTACTAACAACGATACAGTTGCCTCACCATCCGTTCGCTCAACCCATACGCGCTATAAGGGGTAATGGTTGATCTAGTCCAGACTTGCTTCCAGCATGTCAGCAGATGGAGGAGGATTGGAGCAACCCGAGCAGGATCGTTGGCTGAATTTCCCTAGGTGAAGCTATGCAGAGCTGAGAAGGCAAGGTAGATTGTTAGGCATATTTCAGGCGTAGGCTTGAGAGTGCATCTCTTAGTGTTTGATAAAAGTCGTTTCGACATGCAGATAGAACTAGGCAGCTGCCGCAGTCGACAGAAATATGAAGTATCCAGAAGAAGAAGTGTCATCGCTAGTCCCCCGAAGTTGTCCAGTGGCGTAGTGATTTTGTTGATTGAATCCGGCAAGACGATTTGCTCCAAGGTCGATCGGTGAACAGCCCCTTCTCTATTGTCCATGGCCTGCAGTATCCCGTCCAACCATCAAGTGCTCTGTTCATAAGCGGGGTCTACATGGCAAGTCCCTTGCGGCCGGTTGCCATGATGGCCGAACGAGCCTTGATGCCGACGTTTAGTACAGTCACACCCCATAAGTCTCTTTGCCGTCGGGGGCCGAGCAGATCCGGCCTGATAATTGGTATTCACTTCAGGCCGTGGGCACTGGGCCGTGATGGCAGAGAACGTACAGTTCTGTTTGAGGCCTACTACCGGTAGATACCATGGTCGTGAGGTTGTTTGGGGTCACAGGGGTTGAATACTGCCGGCTTGGGCTGATGTAAGTGGGAACTGGGATGTAGGAAGTAGGATGTTGGGACTGGGAAGTTAGGAAAGGAGGATGAGGGACGCATTTACACAGGCGTCGATCGCGGGTTTCTTTCAGACAGATGCGGGTTGCATCAAATGGGTTGGCGTACTGGTATATTGTGCGAGAAGAGCCAATCCGCCAATAGGCATAGGTACCTTTTGACTTTCAAGAGCCATTTGATGTCTCCCAAACATCAGACCTGGACCCAAGCCAAAGAAGTCCTTCCTCTGGGCCGGCGTCTCCGCTGGTCCCTATTTCCAGTGCCATCAACCTCTGGATCTTCTTATTGGTGTCGGCTCGGGAAACATCTGGGCTTCCGCCGGGGGCCAGTAGCTTTGACTGTCTCGACACATCTGTTTTGTTACGCGGACTGCCCCTTGCGGACTAAACACCGGCATCACCGCCGCCACCACGACAGCCGGAACCGATACACTCCTGAGGCCCACCTATGACCCGTTCATAAGAAATTTAATAACATAACGAGAACTGTTAAGATTCAAGTACCCTCGCAACGCTTTTGTAGATAGATTTTTCAAAGCAGACGGGATCCCACGGCATCTTTTTCTCCGTGTTGAGATTTGGCAGGATGATATCGCGTGAGACTAGCTCTAAACAGAACTCTACCCATTTACTCCTACGGGTTCTATCCTCTGGGATCCAACTGTGCTTTTTTCAACTCTTGCCACCGGTGCTACGCGACTGGTGCAACCCGTCCCCCCTGCTGCGGCCCTCGATCCAGCGGTCAGCCCCTTTCACATCGGTATCCCCGAGCACCTCGGCCCCTAATACAGGAGCGTTCAGCCTAAGACACTCATCATAATCAATCGGAATCGGGATCAGTATCACTGTCTTCCACCGCACCCTCTCCGAACTTCAGGTTCGGCTGCCTCGGTTTTTAGTTGTACTCCTTGGGGCAGAACAGAGTCGACATCGGATCGTTAATGGGCGCAACCATGGACGAGCCACCGTACTGCGACCATAAGGCCTTGGCCGGATAGTAGTTGACGTAGTTCAGCTCCGCTGGCTGCCTAAAGAACGGGACCGAGAACCCGAGGTTGCGGTACCGAATGAACACGTGCGAGATGACAAACTCCTCGTGGCCAACGTAGAAGCCATTTTCGCTCATGTCCTCGACGGTCTTCATGTAGCGGACGCTGAACTCCAGCAGGCCAAGCGAGGAGCCGAACCAGGCGTTGGCGATGAGTGATGGCATCGCCAGGTGCGTCGTGGGTCGGTCCAGCAGTCGTTCGTGATGTCGGCGGCCCGTACTCTGGCTTCCGGAAGTACTCGCCTATCACTATGCCCGTATGCTGGCTGAGCCCGATGGACCTGGCGAACTTGTTCTCGTTCAGGTACTTGTCTAGGAGCATCCCCCACGGCTGTCCATGTTCGTCTTTCGGCCCCAACTCATCTAGAAACCCGGCGTCGGCGTACATCCACTTGTCCGACCCGAAGGGGTTCCGCATGACCGCGTCGTACGTGATGAACCATTTGGCGTTGTACGTCTCCGACAGGTGGGCATTGTTGTACGCGGCCCTGCGTCGCCATTTGTTGTCATCAGACCAGCCATCGAACTGGCGGAACAGCTTGGGCTGCGTGACTTCGAAATTCTCCTTCTGGTGCTTGTTGTTCGGGAAGTCCCAGACGGTCTTGTAATCGTCGATGACGACGAAGTGGTCGTCTTCGCGCATAGCGCGGACCTGCTTCAACACGGACGGGGGCACGTAGACAATCATCTGCTCGCCCCGTCTTGGCCAAATTCCGAAGACGGTCGAGGTAAACCTCGGTGGGCCTCCTCAGTTTGCTCGGGTCTGGGTTTGGGTAGAAAAGGGTTACCATAGTAGGCGCGTCAGGCCGCAAAGGCTTAACCTCGGCCTCGGATTCGTATTTCGAGTTGTCAATGTCATGACCAGACTGGAAATTTTCTTCTGCCACTGGGCCACTCCCTTCCTAAACGGCTTTTCGTGTGGCTTGAGGAAGTCCCGCGGGCCTCTTTTTGCCGGCTTCTCCCAACGAAGAAGGGGTTCGTCTAGTGGTGTCCCGTCTTTTTGAGTCTCGACACCGGCTTTGCAGATGGCTTGGAGCTGGGAGGTGAGGCTGGCCTCCCTCTCGATGACTGGGTGGCCGAGGGATATGCCCACGAGAAGGACTAATACAGTGGTTGCTCTAACTATAGTGTCGAGGGGCAAAGCAGTGAACGACCAGGAAGATATATAGCTAATGCCGGAAAACACCGAGACACATAGACGCCATTGAAGGTTACGCCGGTTTTATATCGTTCTTACTTTGCAAGCCAGTTGTTTTTCGCATAGGTGGTAAGATACTCAGCGACGTTAGAGTGGCGGAGGACTCGGAAGATGGAACTATTCTTCCAACGTTGAAGTAGGACCTTGAAATCCTCTAGTGGCAAGGTATACTAAAAACAGTAGTCAAATATTCTTAGCATCTTGTATACACTAATTATCCATGATCATCGATACGTGATCCGTGATCCGTGATCCATGTTAAACATTCAAGATAAATAAGTGGGGTAAGCAAATGTCAGAACATGCTAATAAAGCGTATAGGTAATCATATCATGCGCTCTTTTTACAGGTATCCAGGAACGTAATAGTTAGGGTGGCAGCAAATCGTAAGTTCCGGCAAGCCCAAGAAGAAGCAAAAGACCGGGCCAGAGTCCAAGAAGGGCGGAGGAGGAGGAAGAGCGCCGCCTCCCAAGGACAACAACACCATAGCGGTTTCACAAGTATTTGCAATAATAATAAGTAGAACTTTACGCGATGAGAACTTTCTTATAGACCTTTCTCATGGAACTTTCTTATGGAACTTTCTCATGGAACTTTCTCATGGAACTTTCTCATGGAACTTTTTCATAATAAAAACGGCTATGTATAAGCATAGAAATTACAGGCATCATATTAATAGTAAATTCATGAAGGACCCATACCCTGGAACCGCTGACCATCACAATCCTTGCTACCTACAGGTCGCCAGGGTGGAAAGTAGTAGCGCAAACGCTAGACTAGGGGCACTAGACGCGTATATTCCCTATGGTTTCATATAGGAAGATACCTCTGAAGTCATCGCGCACTATCACCTTGGTTAATGATTAACGGTAACTTCACATATAAATCTTGCAGAGGGTATACCTACCTCCACATGGCGCCGCGCTACTACTTTCCATCCTGGCGACCTGTATAGGCTGCTATTATTGAAAACGTTCGTCGTTGTATCCCTGCTCCCGGACAGGCATTCGCCTGGCATGAGAGGACATGAATAAATGACCTCAAGGCGCATCAGACACGGCTCAAAGCGCCCACCGACGTCCTGTTCCACCTCCCAGTCGATGACCCCCTTCCCATGCCGTGCCATCTCTACGCCGATACGGTGGTACACAAGCTCGCACGCCAGCACATAGCAGGGTAAGATGGCCAGCTTCCAGAAGGCATTGCCCTCGGCATAAGGCGCGACGCGAACCAGTCGTCGGCCGCCTGCTGGGCGGCGGTGGACTCCACGACGGTGTTGTCCGGGCCGTAAATCTTGAAGAAGTCGGGCTGGATCGGCTCGTTGTCCCGCCGACATCGCCGTCGCCGTCGCCCAGTCTTCCTCTCTGTGTTCACGGCCGTAGCTGGGCAGGGGTCGCAGCGAGAGGATGTGCTCGGCGATGACGTGGGGTGGTTACCAAGCCATTCTTTGTTGTGTACCTAATTCACGGTCGATAAGCCCGTCGACGGTGGTTGCCCTCCATGTTTGATGGGATAGGTTTCAAGGCAAATGACTCAAACAAGCCCCTATCCCTTCAATAAAGTTGGCATCACTGGCAGCATTTCTTCTACTTACAAGTGTGAGGGACCAGGTTGCACCGGCACCACCTACCACCTACCACCTACCACCTAGAAGCTGACGTTGTGGTGCTGCTGCTCCAAATTGACCTTGGCATACTAAGTGCAAGAATGGTCCTCCTAGTAGCTTGTCGAAGATGCAGCATCCTGAGCTATATGCGTGGTGGTTAAGTAGGTAGTCAGTCGCTCAATTACTTTAATTGTAGATTCGAATGGGAGTGAGTCGTCAAATTTCGGCCTGGGAAGGGGGAAGGCCGCTAGGTATAGGTGGTCTGAGCTTTGCTGAGGTAATGCATATCCCCATCCGCCATCCGCCATCCGCCATCCAGCCTCGACCACCACGGCCCGCTTCCATTGTAGCCCACCTCAGACCTGCGTCGAACCGCGTCCGCTTTGGAGCAGGCCTGGTTCGGAATCTGACTGGCCGGAGTCTCGGCTATCTTTCTTCCTCAATACCTACTCTTCGGGTCTTCCTCGACCCCGATCCACACGTGGAGGCTCGTGGCCGGAGACCACTGTTGTTGGATTTGCTTGTACTACCCGCGGAGCCTCACTTACTATTGTTACAACAGACTGACGATGCTTGAGTGACCTCGGAGGGGGCCAGTCGAGCTTCTCGACCCTCTGCCAAGTCAGAAAATAACCTGTCAAGCTTTCTTCACTTTCGTGAATATCGTGAGCTGCATCTCGTCGCTTCGCTGAATCTTCGATCGGCCTGGGAGATCCTCGATGCGACGCATGCGATCACGACCTGGGACCGGCATATCTAGCCCTGCAGCCCTGCTCAAGCCTCGAGGAGCTGCCGAGCTAGACTGCTTTGGCAATACGGGGGAGTGGGCTACAAGATACGGGAAACATGTCCGAAATCTGCTTCTCGGGTTGTTCTTGCCAAGATCTTGGCTGTCACGAACAACTCGTCATATGCGCCAGTGCGCAGAAATTCTACTCAAGAGGCAACCTTATATGGACGAACCCAACCGGCATAGTCGTGCTTGGTTTCAAACCGTCGGGTGGCTGCTAGTCCGTCGTCGCCACGCTCGAATGCGCAGGCGGGCGGGTGGGCTGAAACGGCATCTGAGGCAGACAGCCCCTCGGCGCCCTCGGATCCCGGTCCACCCCCTTGTCCACCCCCCTGACCTCCACACTTGATGCTGCCCTGCCGAAATCACACCCGTGCCCGTGCCGGGTCTCAACTGACGACTTCATCCCATCTCCCTCCTCGGCATGGAGGAGTCGTTGGTGAGGCCACCTCTCATTGGTCCATCGCCGGCGCAAGCGAAGCTTACTTTGACCTTGTTTCGTTTCCCTCGCCGTCGTGGCTTGGTATACCTCCCTCCTCATAGACGTCTACTCGTGGCTGCTGCTGGTGGCCACCAGCGCTCGCCGTACCAGTATACCAGCTACGTCCCGTCTCCAATGTACCCTGACACCCCTTGGTTCTCGGATGCGGAATCCCTTGGGAAGAAGGGCCACTTGCGACGAGAGACGCCCATCTCTCGTCAAGGACCACGGGGAGCCTCAAGGGACCGGTGCTGGGTACGGTAGGAGATCGCCCTCCCCCATGGCCGGCCAACCTTCTTTCCGTGGCCTGCCAGCCCTGCCATGGGCTATCAGATCCCGGCCTCAAGCGCACTCGACGACGGGTTTTTATGAGGCGCCGTTTCCCACAGATCTCAGTCTTGGTTTCTTCCTCTCTCTACCTCTTATCCCAATCCGTCTTCTTCGTTTCCAACTCCGAACCATAAGCGCTGGTTTGCTTCCTGGGATCACTGTCTTTCACTCTCCTTTTACTTTCGTTTCTAATTCTTCTAATTAAATTACCCCGGTGGGACTTTACTTTCTAGAACAGCCAGACTGGTCTTGCTTTCATTCTTACGACGAACACTCACTGACGATACCCTCGCTGTCCATATCCAATCCGTTTCGAAATAAAGGAAAGAGAAGAAGAACATCTTAATCAGACACTATGCCTTCCATCATGAAGACTGCAGGAGCTTTGGCGGCATTGGCGGCCGTTGCTTGCGCTCTACCAGCCCAGCCCAAGTTCACCCCGAGACAACACCACATCTACAGCGTGGCGAAGCGACAAAACGCCGCCGCCGCCGCCCTGGGATTGGCAGATGTTGACATCCTTCAATTGTGTGTATACCCAGCATTACCCACCTCGCAAGCCAATCATCAAGCTAACCCCATCTCGCAGTGCTCTGACGTTGGAGTGGCTCGAGACTACCTTCTACCAGCAAGGTTTCGCCCAGTTCGGCGACGACCAGTTCACGGCACTGGGCCTGGACGCAGTGCAACTTGCGGACCTCAAGGCCATCGGCGCAAGTGAGGGCACGCACGTCGGCGCCCTGCAGAGCGCCATTGCGCAGGCGGGTGTCCAGCCCGTGCAGCCGTGCCAGTACAACTTCGGCTTCACCGACGCCGCCGGCATGGTTGCGACCGCCGCCATCCTCGAGAGCGTCGGTGTGTCCGCCTACCTCGGCGCCGCGCCCCTCGTCTCGGATCCCAAAATCCTCAGCACGGCCGGCTCGATCCTGACCATCGAGGCGCGCCACCAGTCGTTCATTCGCGTGGTCTCGGGCGCCGAGGCGTCACCCTCGCCCTTCGAGACTCCGCTGGGCCCCAAGGCAATCTTCTCGCTCGCGGCGCCCTTCATCACGTCCTGCCCCGGCGGCTCCAACCTGATCCTGACGGCCTTCCCCACGCTGACCATGGTCAGCCCGGCGCCCGTGGCCGGCGTGCAGACCCTAGCGGAAGGCACCATGGTGCAGCTGCAGAGCGACGCCTCGGCCGGAGCCACCTTCTGCGGCTTCACCAACTCGGCCGCGCCCGGCGGCACCGCCTTCTCGCCCTTCTCCGCCGCCACCGGCTGCGCCGTCCCGCCCAACCTGGCCGGCACCGTCTACGTCACGCTCGCCAGCGGCGCACCCGCCAGCGGCGTGCTGACGGACGACATCACGGTCGCAGGGCCGATGGTAATGATTTTGAGCTAGGCGAGCCTAGTTCGACCCGTTCTCATCAATTTATCGATTCAACTTATATAATGGGACATCATCGGCTGGGTACCTGTACCTATCCTGCTGGGTCGATACCCGTCCGACCTGTCAATAAATTCAGGGCGGGGATGACCAGCCGGCGAAGAAGCCGTGGTCCGTCGGCTATGGGGGAGAAAAAGAGAGAGAAACAAAGACACAAGCGGCATCGGCAACGGGCAAAGACACGAAGCAGGAAGGTTTCGGTAGCTCGCACAGTATCGTTGCCACCTAGCTTAGCAACCAATATACTATACCGTTCGTGTTACGTCAAGCCAGTCTTCTCCCTCCCGTCGCTCCATGTAACTAGAGCTCTCTTCTTTTCCACTTCTTCACTTCTTCACTTCACTTCTTGGGGCCACAGGCGGCTGGGACTGCCTTGATGGGGGTTTTTGCTTTCTGTGGTCTGGGAAGAGAGAACAAAGGCTACTTAAGAAGAAAGCCGGGTGGGCGCACAGACGGGATGGGGAGTTTGGGAGTGGCTTTTTCTGGTTTATATTTTTTACCATTATTCTATATACTTATTGTCGTTCAAAGGTAATTTTGGGGGATGGACTTGGAGATGGTAGATGGTGGACTTGAAGGAGAAAGACGGAGGATGTTGGTGATACCCCGAGTAGGCGATGCTTTGGTGCTTCGCCTGCAATCTTAGATAGGATCAGGATATATATAACTCTAGCTGGTTGAATCCAGATTTTGGTTCTGCTACCTTCGATGGTTTCTTTGGTGACTTGTAAACTTGACTTGATCTGACTCAGTGGACTCGGACCGGTGTCTGGACTTGGCAATTTGACTTGACTTGGAGACTTGACCTCGGTAACTTTAAGGCAAGTTGGGTTGGCAATTTTAACTTGAGCTCGGTCATTTGACTTGATGTCTTCCTGCAGAGCGATGGGGGAGGATCATCAATAGTCACATGCGAGAGAGCGAGTGGTAAGGTACCGTAGGTACACTGAAAAAGAAAAAAGGACAAGCCCAGCGGTGCGTAGGCGAAAGCTCATTGACCAATCTATTCAAGTGGGAAATGAAAATTGAAGTACTGACTGGTAGTAGTCCGATACGAAGCCACAGGTGGTCATTCCAGTTACGATGGTGAGGCGGTGGTCTAGGCTCTGCTGACTTATCCTAGCCCACGGCTTGCGTGGTGATAAGTATGGGCGAGTAAACAGAATAGAGCAGATAAGATACCTGGCTTTGTATGGCAGAGTGTTGGCATTTTATGGTACGGGATTGGTGTACAGGAACGACTACTATTACTATCCCCGAGGCCTCGAGAGGATATTTCACCTTTTCTATTCATCCACGCTGAGAACTTACATACTGCAGGACTTCAGGCCGTGAACAGTCCAACTTTGGGGGCAGTTGGCTCATTACCTAGATTGGATAGAGGGGAACGAAAGGCAGAAGGGGAGGCGTGCTTAAGGACAGGGTAAGTCAGACAAATGAGCAATGGACAGTGGACAGTTTGAGGAAAAGCTGGAAGATATGATAAACGCGGAGGAGGATAATTATAAAGGGCATAATCGACACAAACATGCATCAATTTCTAAGGTCAGTCAATCAGTTAGATTTCTTTTGAGGTTCGCTGTTTTCTCGCAGAATTATATTTCGCATAATACATGCGCGTGATATGACTATCCAGTCTGTAACTTGGGGAGATAATTATCTCTTTCGCACGCCTCGCGTCTCGCTGGTCGTCATCAACGAGCCATGTCAGTCCATCCATCCATCCAACAGCGCATATTGCATTAGGCTCTGCTATACTACTGCTGGTTTCGACGGAGGGCATGGAGATCATAACCGAAACGTGTCCGTCCACCAGTACACCAGCCGCAGAACTCCCCTCGCGGTTCCCCAGTGATCACAACGTGAGAACGCCGCAAACTCCTCCGATGATGAGATGAAAGTGTGAAAGAGTAGTGTACAGTGGCAGTCGAGAGAGGGAGAACGCGCCGGAGATTGGTCGACACCTCCAGCGATCATGTGGCCGGAGTGTCGGGTGTTAAGAGTCGTGCCTCGCGTCGACTCTAGGCAGGACCGAATCGTCTTGCACGAGCCTCTGCCTTGATCTGCTCAGACGGATCGGCCAAGGCGCCCTTAGTGTTGCTTCCCTAAGCACCACCTCCGAAGCGCTTCGCCCTCGCCTCCGCCCTCGCCTTCTCGGCAGGGTCAGACATGACCGACTTGCCGGGATTAGGTCTGCCACCCTCCTTTCTCGGACCACGGCCACCACCATCACGACCGCCGTCGCGACCGCCTCCTCCCTGTCGACCATTTCCACCTTGCCGTCCACGACCTCTGCGTCCACCGTCGTTGCCGCCGTTCTGATGCCTCTTTGCGCCGCGTTCGCCATCTGCGTTGCCGCTGGCACCTTCGCGACCGCGCTTCCGTTCGCGCTTCTCGGGCAGCGCCGAGTCTAGACCCTTGACCACAGTGGCGGACTCGTCGACGCCGAAACGCGTGGCACGCTCTGCCTTCTTCTTGTCCTCGTTGTTCTCCTCGACTACGCCGAAGCGCTTGGCTCGCTCGGCCCGCTTGCGCGCCTCCTCATCGGCGATTGACGCGGGCAGGTGCGCCGAGAAGTCTGTCTTGGGTGCCTCTTCGGGTGCTGCTTTCGCCTCTGTGGCCTCGCCATCTACTTTCGCTGCTACGTCTGTCGCCTCGGCAGGCGCATCGGTGGTGTCTTCCTTGGCAGGCTCAGGCTCGGCGGGTGCAGCCACCTTCACCTCGGCAGGGGCTGCTGCAGGTTCCTCAGCTGGTTTCGCGGGTTCTCCAGCCTTAGCGCTCGTAGCCGGGGCTTCGTCGTCGTCCGAATAATCGATGGGGTCGTCTTCGGCTGAGACTATCACAAGTTAGTATATGTAACCACGCGCAGTATGATCAGGTCTGCGATTGAGGATCGCAAACAGTGGTGAATGGAGGCAGAACTAACCATTGGCAGGCTTGGGCTGTTCCTGGGCTTTGTCATGTTCTTGCAGACGCGCAATGAGGTCTGCTTTGTTGCCGGTCACTTGAAGCGACTTTTCTTGGAGAAGCTTCTTAAGGTCCGGGACCTTGAGGGCGGCGTAGTCGGCCATGTCGACAGGTGGTGCGCAATCGACGGACTGGGCGTATGAGATCCAAGTAGATGCAAGGGCGCGCGTGTCAGTGAGGATGACCTGGTAGACAAAAGGATGCAAGATGCAAGGTGGAAGGAGGAGGTTGTATGCAGAAGCTGTACTCGTCGAGGTAAGTCGAGGTGGGACGGGAATTGGGATGAGGACGGATAAAGTGCAGAACGCGGCTGGAGTTGGAGGAAGCTTGGTTGGAAGGTGCAGCAATTGATGGCGGGTGCTGGGGCCCGGCCCTGCGGCTGCCCTGGCCCCTAGCGCAGTACAGGGAATGGAGAGGTACCCACTTAATCTGTGCAATGCCCCATTGTTTTTGGATGACGGAAACAGAAGCCACATGCATTCAGGCACTGTAGCCTCAGGACCCGCATTCACTAAGGGTCGTCCGGCTAAAGCAATAAATCATACAAGGCGCGCATGTGCCTTGTGGTAGCGGTATCCAGAATATGGACCAGGGTCACGAATGGTGGCTATTGGTCTGTATTCTGGAAGTTGCTTGATTGAAAGAAAGGATGGGTGGTGTCCCCATCCCAGAAGTAGCTATCATCCCAGTTGGGTACGAATCTGGTACAAACGGGTACCAGTTGGGTTCCAAGGTACCTTGTACCCTGGTCCGTGACCCATCCGTCATTGTGGCTGGAAAATGGGTCGAGGAGCCACACTCATAAATGATAACATGAAAATAGCCATCATTTATCATTACACCCTTCCTTACGTTTGTGAGAGAAGCGAAAGATGTCATGAAAGATGGCCCTCTTGCTACCTTTTGCCCGCTTGAGGTCAGGTTTTCTTCCTATGATCACATCTTCAACGGTCTGCATGTGACAGCATGGACCTGTCAGTGGCAGGTGAAGTGCCGTTCCAATCAACTTAGGGGAAGGAGGCGTTGCCGCTCGTCGTGGTAGGACCTGACGGCGAGAAAACGGCGGCGCGTCGCTCGCATTAGCGACGACTACCGGCAACGGTTTGGAAACCACGAACGAAAAGAGCCCCGGCGTTCAGGCTGAAAGCTTCGTACCGCCTCGAGAGCCCGATTTTACCAGGCACGATGTTCTGGAAGGACCTCAGTAGACACGTAGCCGCGCTACGGCACACCCAGTGATCGAGGAGGCTTGAATGGCTTCAGAAGCCACTTGTATGTAGGCATGTACGCGTGGACTGCTTGCCGCAGTCCATAGTCCTAGAAACCCCTTCCAGACATTAAACACTGCAATCAATCAAGCAAGCAAGCAATCCATCAATCCATCAGTCATCAGTCATCATTCATTATTTATCAGTTATGCCCATGGTCATCTGGATCAAAGTCTACCATTGTAACATAATGGATTCCTATACAGTCACAAGTTTTGAGCCAAATTTAAGTTTCACGTATAAACATTGAGCAAGTAAGTGCGCCACGTCGTTGATCTACTTGCCCTGGGTGAGCTAGATTTTGAGAAAGAGATACCAGAGTCTGGACTCGACTCAAACTCAAAGCTTGCGGCCATCCTTTCCTCAAGGTCGAAGATTCTCTTTTCTCTTTCTGTGCCTCAGACATATTCTATTGTCCCTCGAACTCCTCCACATACCACACACCACATCCCACATCCACCCTACACCTTCACACATCATTCACCACGCACTATTACCATTCAGCACCTCCAACAACTTCACAACTCATTGCCAAGTAGACCCGAAACGGGACTACACTACTCCGCAATCCACCATGTCGAAACGCTCATGTCTTGAGGCTTCACAGTCCGGCCGTGACACCAAACGCGCAAGGACAGAAGAGGACCCGTGTGGTATCTGTCAGGATCCTGAAGACGAGACCAGACAGACCACACTACCTTGCGGCCACAACTTCCACCCTCAGTGTATCACCCACTGGCTGCCAGTGGCCAGTACTGTTCCACACTGCCCTTTTTGCCGTCGGACCCTTCGCCACACAAGCTGCGGCCATACTATCAGCAGGGCCTTTCTGTACCGGGAGGCATCATCTCACACACCGCCTTCGATGCCTTCTGCGAGCGCTGCATCATCAGGGAGGCTCACGATGTCCTCAGTTGCTTCGCACATGACGTCCGCTTCACCAACCGTGAACGGGGCCTCGAACCACGCTTTCAAGAAGACATATAACCTCCTGGCTATGTCGTGGCGGCCAATATGTACGGTAGTCTCCATGCTTGGTACCGATGCATTGTCCTCAAAACGTCCACGGGACTCGGTCGAGTCGCTTCGAGAGTGCTTTCGCCAAATTTCGCAGACACCTTGGCTTTCATCTAGCCGCACGGCCGTTGTGTTTGCATCATGGCTCATGATAGAGATACTCAACGAACCACAACCACAGCCAGCGCGTTCACAACCACAAGATCAACAAGAGTCGCCCCAGCAAGAGTCGCTTTCGCTTTCGTCGCGCCAGCAAGAACAACTCCCAAATCGAAGGGGAGTAGACGCGACCGCAGCTCCCATGCACCATAGCATGCCTGCGAATCGTGTGCGACGGGCGATAATAGGGCGAAGCATACTTGAAAAGGCCATCGCAGCGACAATACGCAACTTCCGGGACCACCACGGAGCCCGTGACGAGGATACCATGTCAGCATTCACTGCCCAACTCGACATAGCGATGGCGACATATTCACCTATAGGAGTCGCTCTCGAGAGAGGCAGCGATGGCGTCAATGACAACACGGATAACAACGACAACACGGCCGCCGACGACACAGCCGCCGATAACACCGCCGATGTTGATGACAACGATACCGACGACGATATGCGCGTGCGTCTCGAGTGGTACGCCAACAACATGAAGCCAATTGAGTACCCGACAGGTGCCTGGCCACCACTTACAGCGGCCCTATACGACACCTATCAGAAACTGCAGTCCGCAGGCTACTTTGAATGCGAAGGTTGGGAGGCTCTTGGCGACCACCGCGGGGTGCAGGGATTTCCCTCGTTTGGCGACCTTGTATACACCACGTACACGAGCCAATACACCGCGGCCAACATCAACCCACGAGCGATCCAGTTCGCGCACGATGCGTTCTTCGCCGTCCACCCCAGGAAGCAGGGCCAGGCGGCAGCCCTCTCAGGCTACCTGGGAATCCCCATGCCCGCGATCATGATGATGCCGAAGCGGCCGGAGTCAGTCGGAACGCAGTATACTGCGTTGACCGTGCGGGAGTTTCAGTTCGCGTAGTACGATGAGTACGTCTTCTTGTGAGGGCTACCTGGAGGAGGCGGACGACCTGGAGGAAAGGAACCACCTGGAGGAAAGGCTGCCAGCGGTGGATAGAGGCAAGGACGTATGATGGATTGATGGCAGGCGGATGCCATATGGATAATGGAGATTTGGGTTTATGGCATTCTGCCCCGAACAGCGAACAGCGAGCGAGCGAGCTGGAGCAGGGCTTCTATAGAAGCACAGCAGGCACAGATACCCCGGTGCGGTGGTTCGAGCTTTCGATGACACTGCCGCTTCCCGGAAATGCCTAACGTGGACAACAAGAAGCGACTCGTCTTTGACGAGAAGCGCTTGCTTCCAGCCCGAGACGACCACCACCTCCGTCCTAGAGCAGCACCCGAAAGCGAAGGCGGCAGCTCGACTTGGCCTTCTGGATGCTGCGAAGAAGAGTCTGACGTTCATAAATTGAGACGAATAGACGGAAAGTACCAACAATTTTGCGTTGTCCGACGATCACACTCGCAGCTCTCCCTGTGAACTGCTTGTCTTGCGCACCCGTGTACCGTCAACTCGTGAAAACAGACTGTGTTCCAAAATGCTCAGAATATCCCACTGATGAGGCTCGTTGTGCTTTCAACCGGACACTGGCCCACCACACCTTCCAACACCTCGCCGCCGTCGCCGCCGCCTGGATCGATGACCCGACCGCCGATGGGTCAGTATAAGGGTCTGGCTACCGTTTTTCTTCCTTCATTCATTGTCGAGTTCGAGGCAGGATCGAACCGCTCTCGTTTAAAACATCCAAAAAAGAAGAAAAGCCCGTAGGGAACTCGAAAAGGTCAGATCTAATGAAGAAGTCGTGATGAAGTTGGGATCGAAGTGGCAGAAAAAGGCGGTGTCGTATGTCGCATGTGTCACATGTCATTCTTGGCAAGGACGATCCCGTCCCTTCCATCAGATGGGACACTCGTCAAACCACTGTACATTCTCGGCCACAGTAATACAACAATCTTGAACTTCGTCTATTGACAAGCTGTTGGCTCCAGTAGATCATGTTCAATATCGTGTGTCAGGCAAAGGCCTCGGGTTAGTGACACCCGAGAGTCAACGCCGTATGTGGAGATACCGAGGCTGCTGACATCCATACTGTTGGCACAGGGTTTCGGAACCGACCTGCATCTCACTCCCTTTGTTTATCTGAACGATACTCTCAGGACTCCACACATTCAGCAGACGTCGCCTCCCCAGAAGAATTGAACGGGTCATACGAGATATAACTGTTGAAAGACTAGAGCTAGAGCGCCTTTACCAGCCGATCGAAACAACCGCCATCATGGCGTCCAACAACGAGCTCTTCACGATCCCTATCCCGGCGCTGCAGTCGCACGTAGGCGGCAGCATCGTCTGCACCTCGCCCGCGCCGCAAGTCTACGTGCTAACCTGGTCCTCGCCGCCCGACAACCGCGTGACGCCCGCCTTCTGCACGGCGCTCATGACGGCCCTCGACGCGATCGAGTTCGCTTACCCGCCCGGCGTCGTCGTCACCACCTCGGCCATCGCCAAGTTTTACTCCAACGGGCTGGACCTGTCGCTCGCGGTCGCCACGCCGGGCTTCTGGGAGGAATGTCTCTACCCGCTCTGGCGGCGCTTTCTGACGTACCCGATGCCGACGGTGGCGCTGCTCAACGGGCACGCGTTTGCGGGTGGGCTGATGCTGGCTATGCACCATGATTACCGCGTCTTTACTGGCGTGAGGGGCTATGTGTGCGTCAATGAGCTGGAGTTTGGCGCCCCGCTGCTGCCGGCCATGAGCGCTATCTTTCGTCTTAAGCTCTCGGCCCGCAGGTACCGCGACCTGGTGCTTGAGGCGCGGCGGTTCGACGCGGCGAACGCGCTGGAGGCGGGCATTGTGGATGCGGTGGGCGGGTTGGACGAGGCGCTGAAGTTGGTTGCGGACCGGGGGCTCATTAAGAAGGGAAAGACGGGGGTGTATGGGATTATGAAGGCCGAGATGTACCGCGAGCAGGTGGCGTTGCTAGACGCGAGAGGGAAGGATGCGGCGGACCCGGATGCGATACGGGACGCGGAGAAGAGGAGGAAGGGGCGGGGGGCTAAGTGGGTTAGGGAGTGGAAGAAGTCGCAGGGTGGGAAGGCTAAGTTGTAGATGTGTACATCCTAAGCTGTCGCTATCTCACGATGGCCATATCAATCATTCGGAAGGCTGTGCCTGGTCCGCAACAGGCTCCGGTGTAAAGACCCTCGTATTTCGCCGGAGTCAAGCCATGACCATCGATATAGTTGTCTGTGATTACAATGGACCCCCATCCGGGCCAGTCTGTGTTGACATATTGACGTCATGGATGAACAATGCTGGTTGCTACCAGAGAGAGTCGACCAGAACTTATTTATCTCTGTTCTTTTACACTGCTAACATCACGATTCAAGTCACGCCAACACACAGAAACTACCAGCTCCAAGCAGCCCGCACGCAATTTTACACTCCCATCCAATGGCAACCACCACAAACGCCAACCCACCCCCAGAATCCCTACTCAACAGATACAAATACCACCTCCTCATCGGCAGCTACCTCGCCTTGACATCCCTCTTCTTCTACCGTGTCCACCGCCGGCCATTCTCGACAGCCATCAAGTCGGAGCAGTACGAGACCATCTTCAAGGGCACTACACTGGCTGCTGTGGTCGGAGGGGTCGCTATGAGCAGTTCTGGGCGGGCGAAGTATCGACAGTATAGGGGGCGACCTGATGATCGAGGGGTTTGAGAGCAAGATCCGGTATTTCAAAATCCGCGGAGGATGAACCCGTTTCCGTTCAAGTTGAACGTGCTCGGGGAACTCGGAGTCTGCCTGGTCCGCATGGTCACGGAACCCCGCCCGGATCGGCCCCACTGCCGGCTGCCGAATGCCGACTTGAGTTGCTCTCAGCATGAGTTAAGCCCTCTGGTTAGGTATGGTTGAATACTCTACCTGGTGGTCTATAATACAGCAAAGCAGAGCACGTGTTGTGTCGCGAAATATCATCATAGTTGGGAATCCGGACACAGATAACTTTACTCCAACTTTAACAAGACATAGTAAACCAGGCTGAGAGGGCTGAAGCCTGACCAGACTCCATAACGGGGCTTAGTGGATATCTCGATTGCTGGCAGACACTCGAGGCATCCGAAGAAGCAGTTGGAGCAAAATGAATGTGGCTTGCCAGCTGCTGGCAATATCAATGCGACGATAAGACCCGAGACGGCGCACTTGTCCAATTGCAGATTTTATTGCGCCAGCTGCAGGGAAGGTGCAAGTTTGGCCGACCTCTCAGCACCAAGGCTTCATTGATGTCATCCTAGTCTTACCTTATCACCAACACTATCAAAACAACAGCTGAAAGGAGCTGGGGTATCCCAAGATGATTGATGATTAGGTATGTTTGCCAGCATACTGTACGATCTTGATACCAAAAAGATCATGGCGTTATACCATTTGAGAGAAAGGTACTATGCCCGTCCATCTTTGACGGACAACACGACTGTTTTGGACAGAGGATGGAGGTGAAACATGCACAGAATCCCATCCCATCCTGTTGTCTTGAATAAAATAAAGCCGGCAGCTTGGGCAAGGTTCCAGCGCCGAGGGAGGGGCACGCAGCTAAAACAGCGTTGCAGCGACAGTCGTTGATTCGCCAGGTTTTCCCAGTTTTACACCCGGGAAAGACTGGGGTGCTCGTCTAGCGGCACATAACCTCGCTAGCGCTACAGCTTGTGCAAGATCAGCCTATCAGGCTCTTATCGATCCACTGCAAAAGCCACCAGATGTCGCATCCTGGGCCCATCCTAGGCCCCATCGTGCGCCATTGTTTATGTCTCAGCTCCTTCCAAGCCCACTGTTGGTTGCTACGCCTACGCAGACGTCGAGCTTCCAGGCTTCGAGAGGGAATCAGCAGTGTCGCAGATCGCAGAGATACATGTACGCACGTGTGCATGTGTGTGAGTGAGCATCAGCTAGCTACCAGAGCGTGGTCGTGCATATGGGCCGAGCACCCCTTTCTATTCATGCATGTCATTCATTGTCACCCTGTATTGCCATTGCCATTATCGTCCCGATACTACCTGAAGCCTACCTCCCGCTCGGGTCGATAGACTGGCGCACCTTCTTTTCGTCCGTTCCAACCTTGTTTCTGGCACGGGTGTGATCTTCAAGTCGCAGTGCATTGCAGAGCTGTAGCTACGATGCTTTTAGGTGAGTACCAAGTCAACTCGTACACCTGCACCCTTCCGTGAGCTTGGTTTGGCATGTCGTGCGCTGCTGGGAGATGGGAGAGCGGCCGTCAGATCGGCCACATCCTCCCCTCTATCCCGTAGCCCGCCGATCCCGAGTATCCCTATGCCATGCCGTCACTTGGGAATGTTGCTAAAACTTATCGCGCACCCCAGATCATGACATCCTCAAAATCCGCCGATGGAGGTGATCCGACAGGTCCCACGACTCCCCACCGAGTCATCGCCGTCAAGAAACGCACCCCCAATGCCGCTGCCACCACCGACACACAAGACCGCACTGTCTCAGCGCCCGATGGAGATGCCAACCCCAATGCCGGGCTGGCCGCTACTCGCCGGCGAGCGACAACCATGAAAGGTCAGCCGACACTACTGGGCGACTTCTTGCTGGGCCGACAATCCCCAGCTCGCGTTGCAGCTGAGAAACAAGCAGCGCGGGAGGCAGCACGACAGCGACGGAATAGCCTGGAGCTTGTGAAGCAGGAGATGCGCCAAGCAGCTGTTCAGCAAGTCCAAGCTCCAGGAGGTGTGAAAGACCGCGTCTCAAAATGGCAGAAGGCGAATGCGGAGGCTATGGCAACAGCAGACCCCCTTGCGACCCCGACCGAGCCCAGCGAAGTCAACATACAAGTGGAAGAGGATAGTGTGACGGAAGAGGATCGCGTGAGGATCAAGTTGCGCCAGAAGAGAAGACCACCTATCGTCGTGGTTGAACACAACTCAGCTGGCGCCGAGACAGGACAGGAGAACCAAGGGGAGTCACAATCAAGCAATCCGCCTAAGAAGCGCGTTGTTAGTGATACCAATTGGGTGAAGAACCAGAGGAAGAAGAGCCCACCAAGAAAGCGATCGCCCAAGCCTAAGCAACAGGAGGGTGCTGGTCAACCACTACCCAAGGACTTCCTCAAGCGTCCAGTTGCGAATCCCCCAGTCTCCAGGAAAATCAAGGATTGGGCTACCAAGGTGGAATTACCCGACGAACCTCCAAAACGGACCAGGGCATCCAGATCTGTCGGCAGTGGTGATGGAATCCGTGTCAAGTCTGTACCGAGTGAAAGTGAGGCGACAAGTCGGCGATCTGAGTCAACACATATCACTGTGGAAAGTACAGCATCTCAGAGATCGAAGGAGCCGGATGGCGATGGTATTAGAGTCAAGCCTTTACGGACGAAGAAATATTACGATGACGGCATACGGATACGACCGCAAACGAGATCGATCCCAGACGACGGTATCAGAGTTCGTCCTGGCCGACCGTCGTCAGAAGGAGCAAGCACTGTCCGCGCACATTCGCCACAAAAGTCAAGAACGCCGAGCACCCGTGCAACAAGTACTCGGAGAGATGCGTCGCCATCAGGGCGGATCGAGGTGATAGAGGATCCCGAATCAGACGAGCCCAAAACGCCAACACAAATTAGCTCCAAGAAGTCTTCCAAGGTGAGACGGAGACCTGCGAAGAGCTATGCAGAAACCGGCACCACCGCAACCGGCACCACAGTAACTGAGGATGTGTCCGATAGCGAGTCTTGGTCGAGTGGTTCAGGGGTTGAGTCGGACTTGCCATCCACTGTTCTACCGAAGTCACTGGCAGATATACCTGTCGGATATTCTGCCTTCAGCGAGTTAGATCTACCGCTCGGCTCACGCGGGCGACCTACCCAGAGACCCAAAACCACCAGGCAGTCAAGCTTTAAGGGTGCTACTAACGTCCTGAAAAAGGCACTGACTGAGGGCAAGAAGATACTCACAGAGAAAGCCGAGCATCATCCCAAACCAGCTCAGACTCAGAACCGACCGCCAAACATTGAAAACTGGTTGAAAGACACGGTTGACCCATTCGTGGAGGGGCAAGACAAGACGGAGACGAATTCGGTGGCAGAAACAGAGACCAAGGCCGAACCGCCGAGGAAATCCATCGAGAAGGACTGGGCAGGCGAGAGCAACGCACAGCACTCAGGATCGTCTTCGAGGCGAAAATCTGCAGAGCCGGCATCTAGCATTGACAAGGGTGCAGAGCATGCCCGCGCAAAAGAAACTGAAAGGCAAAGCATTGATGAACCAAGCAAAGAAGAGCCCACCACTCCAACCTCGAGCGGACTCAAACGAAGCCGAGCAACTAGGGTCACCTCGTCTCCTTTGAAGAGCACCAGTAAAAGGGGGTTCAAAGACAAGCTGAGAGATGCGTTCCGCGGTGAATCAACTGGCCATAAACCTCCGCCTTTGGAATATTCCAGCTACGTCGAAGTCGTGGATGATGAGGAAAGCTATGACGGGTACCAAGAGCCACGTTATTCATCCGGCACACGAAAGAGCCCCCCTCCAGCCGACTACGATGATGGCTCGTCCGTCTCAGCCGAGCCGGCGAAGACGATGCAGCCGTCCCACTATCCGAAGCGAAGACCACCGACTAATGGCTTGCATGAGCTATCAACTATTGTGTCTGATGCCGAAACGCTTAGTACACTCGAATCAGACTTATCGTCAATCGTCTCACAAACGACCGTGACCCAGAGTACTGGCCTGACTAGAAGCACGGCCATCTCTCGGAAACGAAGCAATAAATCAGGTCTCAAACGGCGACTTACTAAGCATTCCGACCTGGTATCAGTCTTGTCCTTGCCAGACGACACCGCATCACCTAGCAGAAGCAGGAGTCTCCGATCAGCACGTAGTGTGAGGAGAACATCCAACCATCTCGACAACGCCAGTGTGGAGAGTCTATTGCAGGAGTTCGCAGATGACGAGTTTCTATACACAAGAGAGTTGAAGACCCTGGTGGACGGCGTGATCCCAGTTCTTCTCAGCCAGTTCGTCCATGGTGCTAGCAGTTCTCAGAGAGACCCTTTTGCGTCTTCCACCAGCAGTCAAAAAGAAGATGTGATGTCGAAGGCTGTAGTGAGCATGGGTATAGCCCTTGAGAAGTTGAAGAACCACCACCGGCGCTGCCCCATTTCTGACATGCACAGACTCCCGCAATGGCTCGAGACCGTGCAGCCTGTCTACGAGAACTACCTGGACGTATGGCGTCTTGGATTCCAGGGAGTCATTGTCAACCTGGCTCCGGCGTCGCCTGATGACGAAGACTCGCTTGTCAATGCCATGCCTCGCAATGAGCAAGGCGATGTCCTCAATGAAGACGGAGATCGCATTGATGTAGCTCACCTGCTGAAGCGACCCCTGGTCCGTGTTAAATGGATAACCAAGTTCGTCAAGGTATGACCCCTTTCCACACTATCTGTCTTTGATGAAGCTAAGAGAAGTCAGGGGTATCGGAGTGTCACAGGCACCAATCAGTATGAACCACTTGCTTCCAAGTGGGAAGCCCTACAAGAAAAGGCGCGCCGGAGGAACAAGGAAGAAAACGCAAGAGTCACAGACGACGATGCCAAGAACACCGATACAAGTCGAGTCCGCGACTTGAAGACCATGGCAGCACGTGACAATGTTAGGATAGACCGATTTCGCCAAGTCTATGCTAAAGACTCATTCTCTCTTGACCTCCGGCACTCGAACGGACAACGGCTAGAATGTCAGGTTGAGCTGGTCTACCGCGACAACCAGCTATTCAAGTCCGACCCTGGAGACTTACTTATCAGGGAAACAGGCAGCGAAGGTCGTTCATGGCTACTGTTCGCTTCTATCACCGGCGCCCACCTGTCTGCCCGAAAAGGCGATGACAGTTTTCAGCTCGTCGTCATGATCAGGGGTTACAAGGACGAATGGTTTGAACTCGTGACCTTGACCGCAGACGATGAAGAGCAAGTACTGGATTGGTTAGACATCCTGGGCAGTAATCCGGTGCCGCCAGCGGTGAAGGATGCCCAATTGCCGGAACAAGAATCGGTGGTCCTTTCGCCCAAATCTACTGTTGGGGATATGCCTTTGGGTGAAAGGAAACTGCGTGATCCTGCCGCTTCACCAAAAGCGTCGAAAGGTGTCGATAGCCCCGAGGCGAGATCAAACACTCCGACGCGGTACCACCAACGAAATGGCAGTCTCCCAACTACGCCAACTAATGCGACCTTCGCAGGAGCATCAACTCCATCTCCTGAGAGGACACCAACCCAGGATTCCTACCAGAAATCAGGGCGTCCGCTGCCGGAACCATCGAATGATAAAGAATACGGGCGGCGTTCTCGCCCACTGAAGGAGGGCATGCGGCCTGATCCTCTGACACTCAGCAGATCTTCTGATGATACCACTCATCGTGACGATGGCCCACCAACTCCTCCAGCCCATCGAACACCCAAGGCTAAGAAGTCTCCTACAACGCTCTCACCTCCTGTTGATACACACTCGAGTATTAAGCGACGAACGTCCTCTCCTCTCAAGCATGAATATTATCCGTCTGATGCTTCGTCGGCGAGCTCATACTCCACATCAGGCTCGGAAGACGATGATTCTTACTCTGATTCATCGTCTGACGATGAACTGGAAGCAGCTGACATGCCCGATACCGCACCAGCAATCAGTATCAGAAAAGAGCCCGCCGCCTTCACTGAGTCTGTAGTATCCGAAAGCCTCGTGAGCATTAGCCCTTCAGCCTCGATTTCCCAGGCTGCTGTCAAAAAGCCGGAGTATCTGTTCAAGTCATTGGCCACAATCTCGTACTGGGACAACAAGCATGGGTGCTGGAAGGAGCTGTGGCCGGACATCTGCTCCATTGTCACCACGCCAGGTCTAATTGAAGCCCACCCTTTTAGACGGACGCACACGTCCTCGGGTGGTCCTTCGCAGGAAGAGGATCGTCCACTCATCGCGATGGACCTCACTCCTTTGGTCATGCTGCGGAATAGTACGGCTCTCGACCTCGAAATAAGATCTCCCGTCTTGAGGTACGCCAGGCTATACTCGAAAGTGAACAGGCTTGAGAGCTCATTCTTCCGTTTCCGAGCCGCTTCCTTTCAGGAATGCGAGAATTTATACATGGCGGTGCACCGAGCCCGACTGGACAACGCCAAGTACAAGGCTTTGGAGGAAGAGACACGTATTCGGGCTTTTGGTCAACACCAGGTCCCGGAGACCGAGGGTGATGGCAACAGTCAACGGCGCAGCTGGTTCGGCCGCAAGAATAGCTATCGCGCATCCGCTCGCGCACCGTCACAGTCTGCTGGTAGTGCCTCGCACTCGAGTGTATCCGCTTCTTCCTTTCTCAAGAAGCTCATGGGTGGCGGCGGCCAATCTTTCAATATCGCCGGATCATCTGTCAATCGGCTTTCTCCGCTGGGGAGCAGGGAGACTTCTCTCTACACGTCATCATCTGGCTCCGGGACGCCCCCTCGCTCGCCCTCGGTCAGCGCCGCTAACAGCGGTAACGCGGCCAGGATGAGCCTTACGACGAACAACCTCAAGATCCGCCTGCACCTGCTCGTCTCGGCCAGCAAGTGGGAGGACCACGGCAACTGCTACCTCGAGGTGACGCGGCCGGACCAGGGCACGAAGCAGAACCTGCGCAAGTACCAGGGCATGGAGAAGCGCGTGGTGGTGACCAAGATCCCCAAGAAGGACAAGGGGGACGCGGGCGGTGACAAAGGGGTGCTGGTGCTGGACGTGGTGCTGGGCAGCCGCTGCTTCTCGCGGTTGGGGAGCAGGGGCGTCCTGCTCAACGTCTGGGAGGAGGTCAAGGACGAGAGCGGCGAGGCGGGCGTGGCGCCCAAGAGCGGCGGCAGCAGCGGCAACGTGAGCAAGTGGTGCTTCGCGTGCGCGTCGGTCACCGAGGCGAGCTGGGTCTTTGGGCTCGTTACGCAGGAGGTTGTTATTGGTTGATACCCCATCTTTCTCTCTTTTGTTTCCTTCGGTGTTTCTATAATTTTGTTTTGGAAGGAGTATAGAGAGGCAGGCAGGCAGGCAGGCAGGCAGGCAGGCAGGCAGGCAGGCAGGCAGGCAGGCAGGCAGGCAGGCAGGCAGGCAGGCAGGTTGGCTTCCAGACTGGCTGGATGGTGGCAAGCTGGCTGGACTGGACTTCCTGGCTTTCAGAGCAGACTTTTCAGCCATTTGTTTTTATATGTACCTACATACCTAGTTGGGGCGGGGGGAACTCTCTCGACTTCGACACATAGCGATTTTGTTTGTTTAATTCATAGTTCAGCGGGTCGGTCTTCGTGCCACCACACTGCATACGTAATGAGGAATGGATCACGGCCTGGAAACTTATTCGTGTCTTATTTGTTTTGAAGTGTCGCACTCTGTTTGTTTGGTTTGGGTGAGGTGCTGGTTGCGTGGATGGACATCTGGGGGAATGGATGGGGTGACTGGTTTGCTGGTTGGTTGGGCGGCTTAGGGGGTGTGAGTCGTATCTGGATGGACGGCATTGGAACTTCATGGACATGGTTCGGAGAACTTGAACAAACGATGGATGGCTGGTTGGACTGGCTGCAAGTGCTGGCTCGTGGTCTGTCTTGCATTTCGGACTGGTTGGGCACTTGCTTGCCTTCATTCCAGGTCCCTCATACCTATCTATTCTCGGGTCTGCCATTCGACGATTGTGGATATTTGTACAGTATAACTATATGCATACTGTGTGTGGTATGGAGGCGTGTGGGTGTACGTGTGGATCCAGCTGGTTCCAGCTGTCAGGTGTCTTGTCGGTTGGGCCGGATCGTTGCCCAAGGGACAAGGTATCGTTTGCACTGTATCTAGTACTTAAGTGACCTTTCGGATGGGACACGCTCCCATCCTTCTAGACAGCAAGCAGAACATCCAGAATACTAGTCATCGTAACATGGTATTCTGGGCCCCTGCCAGAAGGCACATACGTACGTACTTATAGCGGAAGATACCTAGTAAACCGAGTGAGATTCTGCATGTATATTGTGCTTGACTTGTGTCTATGTCTTTGGCCGCTCATACGCACGTATCTCAGCTCCCGGTATAATGTGAGGAAAGTGATTCATAAGCATGGAATTTTTAGGGCACCCCATGTCGCTGGCTAAGTGTATACGCACACTCCTTACTTGTGCCAAAAGCTTGGATTGATGGTAATATTTGGTCTTTTCGCTTTATTTGTCCGGGAGAGTTTAAAAGCCATATTATGGCTTGTTGCCTTGTTTCTTTTAATTTTTGAATTTTAAGGCCATGTGACTAAAATCAACCAAATACCTTGGGCGTTTTGGTACCAAACACAGGCAACAACACAGAGACAAGACGGGGGAAAAAAATTAACAAGCAAAAAGGGAAAAAGAAGAACCAAACATTTCAGCCCGAAGCTTAGTCTCTAATGTGCCTGCTCCGTATCCAGTCGACTGTGTAACTGAGCCAATCCACACCCCATCAGCATTCACCTCATTTGGTGATTGTTTTTGCTCTTGTTTCGATACATAACCTCAGATGCCCTACCTGCCCCGCCTGTAGGCAACAGTCCAACAGATGCAGATCTTTTCGCCTACAACCAGAACAGCTTTTAAAGCTGTCGACTCAGTATTCATCTAAGGAGGCATCATCATCACACCAAACTTACCATATTGCCCCCATGAAAACAGTGCCTGGCACGAGACGAGGCGGTCCGGTTATTTGCAGAATTCCCGATTTACTCCATTTCCTATCGCCCACATAATGTACTGTCGTCTGAGTCTTTGTCCGGCGGAAACCATAGCTACAGGAAGCTGTCACGATGGGAACGATCCCACCACCAGAAAGCAATCGGTAGCTTAGGTGCCCAAGGGTCCTCGTTACCTCCAGGTTACCTCTAAGGCTACCCACCATCCGCCGTCAGCCCACACAGTACTCCTACTCCATTCTCGGACCCATCCCATTATTAGGAAAAGGCGTTAACGTTACACGCATGACTCGAAAGCGTTCCCATCGATCGCTCCACGTGCCGGCGATCAACGGTTTGGTGTATTCCCGCAACTGACGGTGGTACATCAAGTAGGGCTCGTCGAACTTGTACTCGAAGAACCAGTGGCGTTGTAGCTTTTCTTCTCCGAGTTGAAGGACTGTTTTCTGCAACGAATGACAAAGCCCTCGACGTCTCGCTCGACCCTCGTTACGCGAAACACAGCAGCTGGCCCAGCTTGTTCTCGCCCTTCTTGGCGTGCTTCTCGCGCAGCCGCGCCGCCTCCGCGTCGGCGGCGCGCTCGTCGAACACGACGCGGATGCCGTCTTCGAAGATGTTGGCCACGCCCTCGCCTGTCTTGGCTGAGCACTCCATGTACTTGACGGCTCCCATGCCGTTGGCGGCGAGGGTACCCTGTTCGGTGTGATGAGCGTCAGCTTGGTGTTGCAGGGAAGGAAGGGGCTTGGGTGGGATATGGGGGAAGGGGGGGAAGGGATATGGGGGAAGGGATATGGGGGAAGGGATATGGGGGAAGGGGGGAAGGGGGAATGAGGGCCTTACCTGAGATGCTCCGATGCGCGTCTCCACTCGCGGGAACAACGGCGCCCACAGGCCCGAGCCGACTCGCATGTCCTTCTTCAGACCGACCAGGATGATGGGGGCGTCGCGACAGTACATGCGGATCTCGTTGATCCACTGCATTACAGTCTCACAGTCAGCAAGTATGTCCTCCCGAGTCCCGCGTGGCCCGGATGTAACTATGCATAGAGATAGGGAAGAAGGAGCCTTGAATTGCTGATGCGGATGCGGACACATACCTTCGTCTTGGCGCTTTCGAATCGCTTCATGCTGTTGACGCTGAAGCACAGGAAGATGGCGTCCCAGGCGAGGTAGGAGAGGAGCTGCAGCTGGTGCAGACGGACTTCGCCGCACGTGTCCCATAGCTCGAGGTCGACCTCCTGGTCGTCTACTTCGACGGTTTTGTTGAAGAGCTCGTACTGCGTCTTGGAGTAGTGCTGGTCCGTGTTAGGTATCTTGTTGGCTATAGGGGGTGAGGGTGAGATAGGGTGGAAAGGCTTACGAGCGTGAAGGTATCGCGGTAGTAGCGACTGCAGTTATCACCGTTAGCATATAACCACCCTTAAACCTCAAACCTATCGAGACGAGTGAAAAGATAAAAAGCATGATAAAGGATAGGAGAGCGAGAGAATGACGCACAGTAACAAGCTGGACTTCCCACACTCGGAGTCCCCAACAAAGACGAATCTCATCTTGGCGCGATCTCCAGGCGTGCCGGGCAGCGAGGTCGAGCCGCGGATCGTAGAACCGTCGTAGGCGTCCTGCTGCTCGGCGTGGCCGGGTGCCATGACGCGCTGGCAGGCGTGCGAGACCCGCCGCATGAAGCCCTTGCCCGACTGTACGAGGCGGCGACGGCGCGACTCCACGGCCGGGTGGTGCGCCAGGCCCAAGCCCAGCTTTGCTCGCTTGTCGCGGTGGCCGTCGGTGCTGGAGCCGGCATAGGAGCCATCGGGGTCCTGTTCGTGGATGGGAAGTCAGTGAGTGAAATGGTTAAGCGGGTAACTCATACTATGGCAGGAAAACAGTCATGACATGATGCAATGCGACAAGGTAAACAGTAAACACCTACCAAAGCATGCTTAGGAGCCTGGAAATGCGCAGGCTCGAGCGGCTCTTCGCGCTTAACGGGGCCGGGCAGCTCGTTGATCCACTGCAGGAGCGAGTCCTTGGTCGGCTTCCAGAGGTCGGCGATGGAGAAGGCGAAGCTCTTGGAGACGGGCACGCTGAATTCGGGCTGCTGCTGTAGGAGTGATTGCTGTGACTGTCGCTGTTTCTGCAGCTGCGTCTTGCTGGGTGCCGGGGTGAGCTTTGGCTTCGAGGCCGACGAGGGCATCAGGTCGGACATGGTCGGCAGCGTCAGTTCGAGGGGTGCGATTTGAGTGGCCATTGTTGTGGGTGAGGGAAGATGGAGGATGGGAGAAGGTGGGTTGCGTGAGGGACAAGGACAATGGGTGAGCTGGCTCGCAAAGAGTGGGTATTGAGGTGAGCGGATGCGAGGTGCTCAGTTTGAGAAAGAGAATGGATGCAGACAACGCAACAGTTGTGGTGAGTGCAAAGTGTGCGTGGTACAGTTTTTTTGATGGAGAAGTGAGGCTGGTTGCGTTGCCAGGGTGGTGCAATGCTGTGGTCGTTCTGGAGACAGGCCACAAGCACGAATTATGGACAGCTACTTAGGTACTGAGGACAGAGCTTTGAGCTACGGGCGCAGAAGGTCGATTGGAATCTATTCGCACACGGTTTGCAGTGCAAAGGAAAATTGTAACCCCTATCTTGCATATCACTCCTGAATCTCAGGCTGCAGCGACGTCAAATTTTGCTCAGGACATATTTGCCTCAGTAACGCTTGGAAGACACAATCTAAATGAGGAAGCTGATTCACCTTCAGTATTCAAAGATACGGGTTTGCAGCATGCTCGTAGGCTTTACACCTCGACCTTGCGTGTTCGGCTGACGGCCCTTCCAGAGCCATAGTACTTCGGCCACAGGCTCTAGAACGTTGCGAAGATAATCGAATGTCATCGTCTACAGGCGCGTCGCTGACAATTATACATGGCCTCGGTGGCACATATACGCACATAAGAACTTCTGATGCATTTCGCGAGCGTATTTTCAACTCGTACTTTCACCATAGTATCCACCCCCTTTCCTTCAACCATGACTAGGAGCTTGAACGCGGCTATTACTCATGTCAGATCGCGGCAAACACAAAACACCACATCACTTCGCGCAACCAGCGGCTCTTCATTGTCCAGGTGCACCTCTGTATTCCTTCCCTTACTTAATAGGCCTCCTGGTCGAACCGCTTCGCCGACACTGCGTGGAGTATCAGCTCCCACAACGCCTCGATTAGCCAGCATCGTCCCCCGGGGAGTAACAAAGTGTGATACTCACTATGCATATTAGAGAACCGACTGGGTGCGCATGTTCAATACGTAGGCGCAGGTATCTCTACTATTTCAAGTACTGTGGGGAAAAGGGAAAAGGGGTTAGACCCACATAGCTCGGAAAAGGGGCAATGAGCGCTAGCCGCGGATTCTACTGACCACGCACGCCTAGCTGGTCGTCACACTTTTTTTCCGGTCAGTGATTAGAGATGAGGTTCTCATCCATAATCTATCATACATTTGCAGGGCGCACCTGAAGACAGTCTCCGGTCACGATCTCAGACAATGCCCCCATCCGCACCCCAATCGTTGCTGCATTAAACTACTTCGACACATCAGTCCATTCCTCCGCGTCTCGTAATATCAGGTTCTCTATGAGGTTTCCCGACGACCATCGCCGCGGACGCGATTCGCCAGTCTGCTCCACCCCGCTGGTAACTGCACTGGGGCATGTTAGGGCTCCTGGGTCGGCAGCCAATGTCTGCACTCCGGTGTCAACGCTGTTGTACGGCGCACAATCCCCATCCGAGTTGCGGAGGACTCGAAGCTTCCGCCGCTTGTTGATTATCTTCGTAGTCGCCGTTGCCGAGCGAGGCTGTTTCCGTACTTGTCTTCTGCGTACACCAACCAGACGCTGGCGCGGCCGAGGGTGGTTCCGCTCAACATGGCTCCGGACGACGCACCCGAGGTGGAAGCTGACAGAGAAGGCCACGGACACATACGCCATGCCGGCGTAATCCAGAGGTGGCGTAGTGTACGCGGTCAAGAAGTATAAGAAGACATCGTACAAGACACCGTGACGGCGCGCAGGCTGCGTAACCTCGTGCTGCTGGCGCTGGCGGCGAACACTGATGTCCACCTCGGTGTGCAAGACTGAAGGATTGTTGACCAGGTAACCGCCGTCGTAGTAGCCCTTCGTGACCTCGACCGACGACAGCATCTCGACCTTTCCGTTATCCTGTTTCGCGAACTTGAGCAACACGTGCATTGCGTCGGAGCTTTTAGCTCCGTAGGACAGCTTCAGCGACTCTGGGTTGCCCTTCGCAGTGTATAGTGAGAATCACCCCCGAGAATTTTTGTGCTTCGTCTGAAGTTCACAAAAGTTATCTCGCAAATCTTCGACGTATTTGGGGGCCCTGTTAGGGCTGACGCTGAAAACCGCGCTTGGGTGCCCTGATAGCTTTGTGTAGAGCTTAGCCTTTGCGTGCAGGTCCCGTGCCGGCTCGCCTGAGAAGGACGGGGTGACGTATTGGGCGGTCAAGTCTCTTATCGTGAGACCTTCGCTGGAGGCAGGTAGTAAGGAGAAAACTAATGCCAAGTTCAGTAGTCGTAGTAGTGCCATCGTGGAAGTTGTGTCCATCGGCCGTCGGGAATGGTCACGTTGAAGATGGCGGAATGAAACGTAAGGAAATCGGCCGAGGTGCTGAAGAATTTAGAATTGGATGGGACTGTCTCAAGTTACATATCTCAGCCAACAAAGTTGTATTCGAACTGAGACCATGAAGTCAGGAGGTCGCAGCTCAGCCTCAAATTGTCTCACCACGACGCCCGGTCTGCCTGATGGCTGAAACCTGCGAGATATATATACGAGGGCTGATTTAAAGATAACCCAGGGGCGTACTGATTTGAATGTTTGGGCTACAATTTTTTTTCGCGGTTACTACTTTACGGTAGTCTTTACAAGGCAGACTCCTAGCTCAGGCATAAGCTTATATGTATTTATATGATCACTTTGAGTAGAAGTGGTTACCGTTAAACTTATAGGTGGAAGTAGTTATATTACCGTAGATCTGGCAGATGTGCCGGGGAACACGCCCATTGTATTAGCGGTTAATAGTTATAGTTTTAGTTCTTATCACGGCGGTTGTTTTATTTGCTAGAATTTAAACTTCGATTCGTTACTGGTAGGCTAGCTTTGAAAGCTGATAAATTTTATAGCCTTTAAAAATTATTTATACCGTATAATATTCAATACCATATTATATTAGTTTTAAATATTGGTTATAAAAATAATAGTAAAAATAATTAAAGTAATTGTATCGATTTTAAACAATACGTGGACTTTTTCTTTGATATATTTTCAACGGAAATAGTGGATAATTTGCATTTAATCGTACGTGGGTTTTTTTCCCAATCAAAAGTTAATATAAAAGTAGCATATTTTACGTTAATATTCAAAGAATTTCTTTTCGGTGTTTTTTTTTACCCTTTAAACTTTTTATTCGGCAGAACATTAAGTCGTATGTTTTGTTACGTCTTATATTCTTTCGTCACTTGATTTCGGTGGTCTACTTGCTCTGTGTCTTTTCCCGGTTTTTTTATGTGCTTTTTAATACTGCGGTGTAAGTGACGCCGCGTGTGACGGAACGCTCACCATAACCACCATGCCACGGCTGTTCCTCCTAAAAGGATGTCGAATATCAAGCGTGGCAGCTTGACATTCAATGGTGGTACATGTACTCATGTCCGGGCTCCAGGATTCACCACATGGGCTACCTATACCAGACCGTGCCACCACGTATCGTTTAAATTTATATTTACACAGATATACACCGCTCTGCCACTGACCTGGTAGCTGCACTCATACACGATATTGAGCAGGCCCTTGACCAAGGCCTCGTTGCAACAGTAGTCACGTCAGATGTGAAAGGGGCCTTTGATGCTGCCCTAAAGGGACGGCTGGTGGTTCGCATGAGAGAACAGGGCTGGCCAGGCTTTCTTATAAGATGGGTCCAGTCATTCATGTCCGAGCGGTCCGCAAGAGTTCGGTTTGAAGGTATTATGACCGATATAAAAGCTCTCACTTGTGGGCTACCACAAGGTTCACCAGCCTCTCTAATCCTTTACATGCTGTATACCGAGCCAATCTGTGCCCAACTTGGCATGAAAAGAAGACGCTTTGGATATGCAGACAACCTAGCGACTCTTTACATTAGAAAGAACCTTAAGGAAACAGCTACAAAGACTTCTAAAAACCTTTATTTGCTCAATTAATGGGGACACAGTAATGCTATTAAGTTTGACCCCGACAAAACCGAGATTATGCACTTCTCGCGGAAAAAGAACTCAGACAACCCTCCAGTCCGCCACGGGACAATGAACAAAATAGCTAAGCATTCTATGCGATGGCTAGGTGTCCTTCTGGATAGAAAACTAAACTTTAAAGTTCATGTTTCTTACTGGGCCAAGAAAGCTAGTAGGGTAACAAATCACCTTCGAGGACTATGCAACACAGTCAAGGGACTCCCAGTAAAATCAACCAGGAGGGCTGTGAAAGCTTGTGTTATTCCTATTGTTTGTTTGTTTTGTATTTAACGTGGGGGGTAGCTCCTCAGTAGTGCAAACCACGCCTCCCAGAGCCATTGCATCGCAAGGTTGTAGAGGTGTCAAATTAGATACATTCAGATCCGCGCACGAGCCTATCCTCGCTGTAGCGGTACCAATCTGGAGTGTTCAGATGGTTTTAGTCAATACCCAAGCACGATTCCGTCAGAAAAACCTCCTATCTAGTGACAAAGCGACCCAGTGAACCTCAGTTCTCTGGTGTACATATCGTTCCAGTAGCCGTTCGATATATGTCGCATTGGTGGGTGGAGTAGGTGTTTGTTATCTGCTGGCGAGGGAAACCACAAGGGGGAAAACCTCGCAGGAGTGGGTATTGTGGAGACAAGCTGCTTGGCTATCGGGCTCTGCGATAAAATGGGGCCTCTCCACTGTCGTGTGCTGGTTATCGACTCGCACAAGCCGGGTCAGAAAGGGGGCCATAGCAGGATTCGAACCCACTTGTTCTCGTCGCCCACCGCACAAACGAGAACACAACCAGGCGCATTTGACCATTGCGCCATACGGCCGTGTTATTCCTATTCTTACACACGGCCTGGAGACCTGGTACCCAGGAATCAAAAAAAATCAGGAGCTCAGGTGAGACATCAGCATGTCGCATTAAGGGGCTTCTTGGGACAATAGATGCTGTACTACGAACGGCGATCAGGGCTATCTTGCCAGTCTGAAAAACATACCCTGGGCATATCCTATATTTTGAATCGCAGATTCCCCCAGCTGGAGTTCTTGCAGAGTCAATACGACGACGTCACGACCTTCGACTAGGACGAATAGACCAGAGACACCCTCTTGTTGGCAGGCTCCAAATACAAGCCCGCAAGGATCCAACAAGGCTACAAAGGAGCTTCCAGCTAGTCCCTGACTTCCAGAGACCAATACTTACCAGACCATTATAGAAGAAGCCACCAATCCGCAAGGACAAAGATAAAAAAATAGAGCTCTTCAAGTAATGGCTACGGGAAAGAAATGTGAACATTGACCTTGTCATCTACTCAGATGGATCACAATTGGACGACAAAGGCGCAACCCGCACTGGATGGGGTTATACCAATTAGGAAAGGCGGCACCATACAAGAAGTATACCAGAGAAAAGACAGACTTCTTTAAGCAGAAGTAGTAGATAATGAAGTCTATGGCGCTCTCTAAGGGCTTGTAGCAGCCAGGGTAATTGGACACGGAAAACAGCTATATGTCTGCCTGGATAACACAGCAGTGGTAGATGGCTCAATAGGACTCCACCCAAGACATCACAGAATATTTTTCTACGATTCTAAGAACTGGCCACTGTACACACTCCTAGAGTGACCGTCAAGTGGATTTCTGGACACAGAGATATTGATGGCAATGAAGCTGCCAACACACTAGCAAAAGAGGGTGCCATGCTAGAATCAGAAACAACAAACCTTCCTACAATCTCATGAGTCAAGAGAGATCTCAAAAGAAAGGCCAAGAAAGAGTTCAATCAATGGTGGAAAGACCAATCAGAACCTAGTATCAAGAAGTATATTCACATGCAGTAATTGAAAGAGACCTTATATCTTTTAAGAGGAGTACTTTACACAGACTTCTAGCGGCCAGATCTGGACATGGCGACTTTGTCAGCTACTATGAACGCTTTGGGCACACAGACTCGAATGATCACTGCAATTATGGTGAGAAAAAAACATCACAATATTTTTTTTTTTGTAAGAGACTGGGAAAAAATTGGCTACTGCCTAGGCATTCGCTTAGGACAGCTTGTTTACAATACTTAGAGGAGAGGAGCACAGAATGGGCAAAATTCATGGAAAAGAGCAAGTTCTTTTCAATAATTTGCCCCCAATAGATAGCCTTCCTTGAAGGACCAGATGGATGACCCCAAGGTCATACCGCCGCAATAACGGGGATGGGCCCGTGAGCGGGACTGACTGTACTTATTATCTTGAGACCTCCACAACCCTGCGATACAGAGGCTCTGGGAGGCGTGGTTTGCACTACTGAGAAGCTACCCCCCACGTTAAATACAAAACAAACAAAACAAACAAACAAACCTCTACCTAGGTGAGGAGAAGGCCATGCACATGCATTGAATGAAGTCTGTAAACGTGTTAGATACGTAGCTGGTATTTTGCTTGCATTTATTTGCCTGGCGCGTCATAATTCATCAATCCACTGGGCCAACAACAGCTTCATAGCTTCTGTGGCGTCTGAAAATCTTCCACCAGACTAGGCAAAGCTGGTGTGATATTGAACCACGTGGAGTACGCTGTGAATGCTACACAAGATGACGTGGTTGCCAAGATCTGCCTTGTTCTCCTGATGTAGCCAAAACAGATATTTACAAGGCGTTATTCCATCAAGCGGCGGGCATATGTTCTATAAGCACCGCTGACTTTAATACCTAATCCTCGAAAGCCTGCCGCCCAGTCTCCTCGGATTCGATTTCCAGCTCCTTGGTCAACAGGGACGCCAGAAACCCCAAGGCGCCAAAAGCCGCGAGGAAGTACCAGATGGACCTGATCGCTTGCGCGTAGGCATCTCGGATACCGTCCATGGTCCCGGCGGCGACGTCGAGGTCTCGCAGATACGGGATGAAGCTCAAGGCGTCTTGGTTGTCCGCTAGCATAGCCGCCGCCTCGGGCAGCGGTCTGAGAGAGGCGATGGAGCGCGAGAACTGGGTGCTGAAGGCCGTGGCACCTATGGCGAGGCCGATGAGGCCGCCGAATAAGCGGAAGCAGACGAGGATGCCGACGGCGAGGCCTTGGTCCTCCGCTCTCTCCACGCTGGCCTGCATGGGAATAGGTGGCACGGTAAACAGAATTCCTATGCCGATGGCGCCGATGACTTGGAAGCTCGCCCTCTCGGCTAGGGTCGTGTGGCTGTCCCAGAGACCAAGCAAACCCACGCCGACAGCGAGGAATAGCCAGCCGACCCAAATGGACCATAAATAGCGGCGCGTCCATTCCACAGCCATGGCGGCAATACCGGTAAAGGCCATGAGCACGGCGCACAAGGGAAGAATGGAGACTGCCGCCTGGAGAGGTGTCTCAAGGAAGACGGATTGGAAGTAGAGGGGTAGATAGTATAGTAGTGTGTATAGCACCATACCATGGATGAAACTTCCTAGAAGCGTGACCGCAGCGGTGCGGTTTCTGAATAGGCGGTAGGGGAACACGGCCTCCAAGGGCTTCGATTCATACCACACGAAGAATGCGAGCATGAGGATGCCAATGACCAGTGGCAGGATGGTCCTCCAAGAGCTCCACGGATACATAGATCCAGCCCAGCTCAAGGGCAGCGTGAAAAGCGTGGCGCCGACCGTGAATAGGCCCATGCCACTCCAGTCCATCCTAGCAAGCTGTTGGCGGAAGGTGTCCGACATGGGCTTGAGGCGAAGGCAGAAGATGGTCAACGGCAGGCAAATGCCAATGAGAGGGAGATTGAGCCAGCCGATCCAGCGCCAGGTCACGTATTCGCTGAACACAGCACCAAGTATAGGACCAAGAATCGTTCCTAACGCCATGGGTATCGCAAACAAGCCGAGCCAAAAAGCGCGTTCTTTCAATGTGGTGATATCCGCGATGATGACTTCGTTGAGCACGTCAAGCCCTCCCCCGCCAATGCCCTGCAGAACACGGCCGGCGATAACCATACCCATGCTGTGTCCGACGGCGAAGATGATGGATCCCAGCCCGAAGAAGAAAAAGGCAAGATACAGGGGCAGTTTGCGTCCGACAATGTCAGAAACACTGGTGTAGATTGGCTGGACGACGGTGACCGTCAGCATGAATGCTATGTTGGCCCAGAAGGCCTCGAGTGTAGTGCCACCGAGCTCCTTGCTCATAGTCTAGCACAGTCGCGTGTTAGTAATAGTTCCCCCAAGGGCTATTAAATGCTCCAACTTACGGGGATCGCAACGGATAACGCAGTTGCGTCTACCGACACAATGAAGACCATAATCATGAGAGAGATGAAGGCAAGATGGAAGCTCAGGGACTTTTTGGGCCTGCCTTTGCTAGCCGGCACTTCGGACTGAACCACGTCCTTCTCGGGCTGCGAAGCTGGCTGGCCCACGGACACGGCGCCTTCTCCCTCGCTCTGGCCCTTCTCGCAGTCCGAATTCGAAGCCATGATTTTTGGGGAATCTGGGCTCCCGCCTGATTGCGACGAAGTGGGAAAGCGCTGGGGACTGGCGGGAGGTGAGGGAGGTGAGGGATGGCGACAGTTTGGGGATTGACAGCAATTGAAGGAATCCCTCCAAGTCGGCTCCAGCGTGCAGGTATGGAGGGACGATGGTCAGATCAAGGGTATTGACTGGCACCCAATGTCTATTCAATTTCGGTGTCTCAGCTGGTTCAGCTGACAAAGCTGTTCAGTGCTTTGGGACTGCCGTTTTGGAGATCCCAGGCACCTCCCATCGTACTGGACCTGCCAGTTAACCTCCAGCTGCTTTGGCCTGGCCACTGTGACCACCTGCACCAGCACGCGACGGGAGGGAGCAATCACGGAAGCTTGGCAGCCCAGTTGAGCTGCCAAGCTTCCGACTGCACTGCAGTGACTCCACCCGGAATTGGAATGTTGGTGCACCGGGCCATGGATCGCGGAAGTTCTCCAATTGACCAGTGACCACATGTAGCTGCATAGGTACCTAGGTATCTTGTGGCGTGTCCAGATATTTGCAGCCGATTATCTCCGTTAGACGCAAATCCACTCCTTTCGCTTAGTAACGCCCTTACGGGGCGTTAGGTTACGAGACTATTCATGCCCAAGCAATGGCAGGCCGGCTCAGACGCGACCGAGATCGACGACGCGGACATCATAAGCGGTGAAGCCAGTTTTGAGAAGAAGCGGCCAGGATCGAGAGTGGGCCTGCTCGACAGGAGCAGAGAGATCCCAACATGGAAATCAGCGACCGTGCTCTAGTAGGCGAGCAGAAACAGTCGAAAGGCGGTGGCGTCTACAAGGCCCTCGCAGAGGGCGAGATCAGAGTTCTAGTTCTAGCCCCTGGGAAATTCGGCGCTCCTCTCATTGCCAGTCTGGATCAGATTGGGCTGTCTCGGGCGAAGTGCGATCACATGGATGACGACGTGGTCGACACGGACGACAGGCCTGGGGACAGCACGGAACATCAGACAGATGCGAAGAACATCGTCGAGGATGAGAGAGGAGAGGAAGAGGAGTACCACTATGAGGCTATCTCGTATGCTTGGGGAGAGCCGAGGTTTACCTGCGACCTCCGTATCCCAGGGTTTGGAAAGTTAAAGATAACACAGACGCTCCACGACGCTTTGCAGTAGGTTCGCTACACCACTGAGACTCGGCGACTCTGGGCGGATGCTGTGTGTATCAACCAGCGTGATCTTGACGAGCGATCGACGCAAGTGGCTATGATGGGCCGAATCTACGCGTATTCACGCCGGACTGTCGTTTGGCTCGCCGAAAGGGAGCCTTCAGATGCGCTCGCATTCGCAACCATGGCCGCCGCGAACCATGTCATCACTGTTACCGAGGGTAGAGCCATGGGATTCATCGCGACTGAAGACATGCTAGCTATGCCTCCAGAAAACACCATCAAACTCCTGGAGCAAGAGCTAGAGGCATGTCCCTCATGTCCGTGCTGCGGCGAGGGATACTCGAAACCGCGAGAGCCCGCCATGTCCGGGTATTTCGCACCGGCGAAACTGATGGTTCGTCCATGGTTCTCGCGCTTATGGGTTGTACAGGAGATCTTCTCAGCCGGAGAGAGGCACGTGGATGTTGTCGTTGGCCGCCATCGAACATCCTGGCTTTCGTTCCGGGATGCCGACACGGTCTTCTCCATGCAAAAAAAAAAAAAACAGACTGCTCTCTTGCCCTTCTGGAGCTGAGCAATGGGGCCAAGAGGCGTCGCAGGTGTTCAAATATGGTCATATTGTCTACAGTACCTTTGCTTATAAACATGATGCTTTCAGGGTATCCGGCGCAATAAACATGATGCTGTACTGTATGAATCGGCAATGCCTCGATGCGAGAGACAGGATCTTCGCGCTGCACTCCATCCTGCACTTCCGGACGATTGGACTTCTACCAGATTACACACGGGATACTGGCGAAGTTTACCTCGACTTTGTCGTCTCGTGCATGAGGCACATCAGGAGTAATAGAACGAGCGACAATGTCCTGGCTTTCCTCATTCTAGTCGGCACTGAATCAGGTCTACCGGATCGGCCGTGCGATGGCACGTACGCGCGGCCTTCATGGGTACCAGACTTCAACAGGCTCAGCAACGTTTCCACGAAGAAGCTGAAAATGCACTCATCAACTTCGAAGCCTGGACTACATCAATGGCGGTTAACGCCACTCGATAGGGATGTCTTTCAGATACGTGGACATTTCTTCGCCAGTATCGACAGCATTCTGGAACAATTTGTGTGGCCAGAGCTACCGAAAACTGTCGACGAAGCTTCTACGCGACGTGAGCGTGCAAAATTTGTCCAATGGTTTCTTCGCTGTCGAGCGTTCATACGGGAGACCTTCGAGCTTGACAAGCTTTCTTACGGCGATGCAGATGTTGTCATGATCTTGACACGGGCTCTAACCCCCTCCCACATGCCGAGCAGAATATTCAAAGCGAAGCGAGGTTCTCAAGCGTCGCCTGGAAGATTACTGGGAGCGGGAGCCGACTAACACTATCTCGTTCGATGATTCGATGGATAACTTCCTTTCTTTCTACTTCGACCGAAACAACGATCGTATGGACTTCGAAAGGAGGCTTGCCAGGATCAAGGGGCCAGGTCTTGTTGACGTGGCCTGAGTGCCTGACGCTGCAAAGGTGGGCGATCGCCTTTGCGTCTTCAGTGGATGTTCGTGCCCGTTTGTAGTCAGGGAGAGAGGTGACGGTAGTGTTGTGCTTATAGGAGACAGTCTGGCATTCGCCGTAACCGTACAACAGGCGCTTGACAGAACTTAGACGGACGACGACTTCGATCGGGCGTTCAACGGGAGGGTGGAGGAATGGGTAAGTAGCGACTGGGAGTGCAGCAGCCGAGAGATGAGGCGTTTGCAGCGTGACATGGACTGGATTACGCTGCGGTAGTCAACCGAGCAGACAGTTCTTTCGACCTTGCGAAACACAACCAACCAGATCAGCGTGCCGCTGGTTGCTCTTTGACACGAGTTGGACAGCCGGGACTTGTCATGATGTTTGGAAATCAGCTTTCGGTTGATGTTAGGATGCAGTGACCTGTCGTACTGGTATTGCTTATATTCTTGTTTGTGCGGTTCTACAGCGATACAGTAGGTACATAAGTAGAGCCGGGGGCAAGAGTGAACTGGGTGATGACATCGCTGCCTACGCCCTATCGACAGGAGGGGAGCTCGCTGCAGGTAGCCGATGAAACACCGCCAATAGGAGGACGGACATTAGTCCCATTCCCCATCTTGCGGGGCGACACTGAGGCCACATCGCCCTGGTTCGCCAACGAGATTGATGAGACCGGAGATATACCGTAGGATCTGTATTTGAATGCCCTCGTTGGAAACGGAACGAAAAATGAGTGGAGTGCAACGGAGAGTTACCAGGTATCTTGCACTGTGGCTTGATGTCCAGGCGCCAAGACTCAAAAATGGGGTTGCAGCTGGACAGTGGAGGTGCCACTGGGCTCGGGAGCTCCCGTAAATATCCCGGGGTTCTGGGGCCCCGGGGGTTAGTGGCCGATTGAAGCTCTTACAGTGGACGGCATGCGCTATTTTGATACTAAGGACGGGTAGATTTTAGTGTCATTTTGCTCGACGACGACGCCCCATACCTTCCCAAAACTCGTCTTTTCAGCGACGTAACCTCCTATGTAACGTCCTGTTGTCGGCAACCAAACCAATCAAGATGCCCTCTCACATATGCGGTCGAGCAATAATGCCGAGTTGCTCGAGCCGATTCTTGATCGTTTCTATGCTGGTCTCCCCGCCGAATTCCCTCCTCGACGTTTGCTCAGCTGCACGCGTCAACGCTATCAAGCCTGCCACCCGCGACACCGTGTCGAGACAGAAATCGAGCTCCTCCACAAACCGCTGAGCCCAAACGGCATCGTAGAAGAGTTTAGGCTGTGTGCCGGACTCGAAACCGGCGATGAGCTGGTTTATCAATTCGAGCTGCTCGAGCGTCTCCCCCTGCGACGGTGGACTGCTTGGCGTCGTTTGGCTGCTCTTCTTGAGACCCAGAGAGCCCAGCGTCGTTTCCAGGAGTTGCACGTTCTGCGAAAGGATCACCTTGAACAGCGCAAGGCATCGATGGTTCGCTTTGTGCTGCTGGAGCTGCAGACAGACTAGGCCATTGAGGCCCACGCCAGCTTGGTGTACTATCTTCAGCACCACGTCGACTGTTTGGGACAGCGTCAAGCTACTCTCCAGCGCATTGATAATTTGTGTTGCTGCAAGCACACACTGCGTGTCCATGTGGCCTCCGCTCGGAGTTTTCGTTGAGGGTGTCGAGTGCTTTCTACGCGTCAATTGGTAGGGCTCCACGCTGACTCTAGATTTGGTTGATCCATGATGAGAAGATGATGATGGTCGACTCGACACGTCAGCCTGGTCGAGCCCCGATCCAGCCGCAGGATGATACAGTCCCCATGGATTAGCCCCGTTCGGCTCTGCAATGGGGTCGGCGCTGCTTTCGGCGATATCGACAGTATAAGAGCCCCACGCCGGCAGATTGAGTGTTGTCAAGGACGGGAATTCTCTCGACCAGTCGGTCTCCCATGTCATGCCGCTGGTAGCAGTAGCAGCAGCAGCTTGGTCGGCAGCCGCAAGGTCAAAGCATGCAGACATGCTGTTGTCTCCGTCTTGTCCTGTCGACTCGGATGGTGAAAGATTTGATGCAAATTCACTCAGGTGGTCTTGTGGCGGTCGTTTCCTTGTCTGCTTGGGGACTCGCCCTGACATTGACTCGAGATAGATGCACTCCGAGCCAGACCTCGCGCAACGACTACATCCGGTCTTCTCGCCCGAGCATTTTATCTGCACGCTTGCGATTAGCAAAACATCATGCTGGTCCAAAGAGCTTATAGCCACCACGAACCTTGGCTGAAGTGCAATCGAGGCAAGCGTTGCGAAGTCTGGCCGGTCTTGACTTGGAGCTCATCATGCCCGATGTCTGAAGCAGCAGGTAAGGAGTGATGCCGAGCTTGCAGCCTGTAAGAGGCAGGATGATGGCGGCGAAGTCGCATAAGACCTGATAGCGACCTGGCTAACTCGGACATACCGTAGGTACAACCACGGGAGTCTCCGGCGCACGGATGAACAAGCCCGCGAGATCGCTGTCCCCCTTGAAACCAGACACTGCGATGGGTCTAATAAGAGCTTTAGAGTATTGAAGAAATACGACACCGCTCAGGCCGCGACCCGTTGGGTCGTTTACCGTGCCACGCATGCCTCATGCCTGCGCACATTAGCCTGGCTCCTGAAGATCTCAATCCATGAGGTCTTAGGATCGTAGTGGGTCGAGGAGATCGAAAAGCTTGTCAGAAACGCATGCGAAATCCTACAAGAAGTGCTTGCATAAGTGTATTTTCCTGTCAGCGGGCTCGGCGTTTATACCGCCGCTGTGTGGAGCACCCAACTATATCGTTGATACCAGTGGCCATTGCGGACGAACATGGCATTGCTTTGCATAAGCGTGTTCCTTAAGCGGACTCAAGGAGTGGTCGCGATACGAGGTGGTTGAAAGAGGGGAAAGGCGGTAAGTGACTCCAAGGGTCATCATACACAAAGTATACTATGCGCCTACAAGTACAATCTTGTTCAGTACCGGTTTCTAATACATTTCCCAGTAGGTTTCATGTGTCTTCATACAGAGGAGTAGATTGTGGTGTACGTGTTGCTAGGTATGTCGAAAAGAGCCGCTTCTCTGCATGTTGCATTCCAGTCACCTGACGACCACTACATACCATCCCTCCGTTCACCTCTGCCGTTCTGCGCTGTACGCAGTATGTGTTGCAAGAAGGATTGATTGGCTTTAGGTGATGCGTCCCGTATTGATCATATCATCATCACCCAAACATACCTCTGTATATATGCACAGTCCTTGTCCGAGTCCGAGTACGAGTCCGAGTCCGTAGCTGTAAGTGAGCTGCGATCCTACGACCACCTCCGGTCTAGCCCATACACGGATCTCGCATACCTTACCTCGCCGAGCCCCGACTGCCTTGGCCAATGGTGACCCGGCTGCTGAGTCGATCCGGAATGCGGTCCGCTCCGAAACGCAATCTCACCCGTGGAAAGATGTGTTCCGTTCCTCATGATCTGACAGTCGACAGGCTGCACGGGCTGGCTCGTCTGTACTTCGAGCAGGGTTCACTGCCTCGGCACTTGTGGGGTTGGCAGACTGCTATACCTATAGCACAACATGGCGGTGGCCGGGACCAAGGGGACATGCAGTAAGGTAGTTATATTCGTTCCTATGGCAGGCAGAGAAGACGGAAGCTAGCGGACTCGGACGCCGCATTCCTGCAGGAAGAGCAACAGCGAGCTATGCACGAGCGTCAAGAGTCCCCCGCACCGCTTGCCGCTTACTTGCATCGTTCTTCGACCTACCACTCGACCACGAGCGACTTAACTATTCACAAGAAGTCATTGCCACATGCAGGTGACGAAAATGGCGGCACCGACCATCGTCATCGTCATGTCGCTGACGGCTTTGCCCTCACCCCGGCTCTGCAGTCACGCGCCTCGCATTAAGTGCCGCCAGGTTGAATATGCATGTAAGAATATAGCTGCGTCCTACGTCTGTAGGAATATGACTGCCTGCTTCATCGGGCAAGCCGATATGCAGCGAACTTTCAACTCCCTGTCACGCTATATTGCGGAATGCCGGAATTCGCGACTGGAATGACGTAGTGCATGTACCTGAGCGACTGCAGCTTGGCGAGCGATGAGGCGCGACGGGTCCACGTCGCTCGCCAGGACCTCGTCGCAGTTTCGCCCACACGTGCGAATTTCGCGCGCACGCGAAGAAGACGTGGCTGAGCAGCGTGCTGGGCGAGGGCCTTGTCGATCAGCCCCGACAGGTAGGCCTAGACGTCGGCGCAGGACCGCCAGAACGAGCGGTCCTGTATGAGCCAGCCAGGACCACCGGCCGGCGAACAGGCGCTTCCCCGTGCCGGACATGGCGTCGCCGCAATCGGCCATGAACCTGCGCGCGGCCTGACGGGCTCGCCGAAGCAGAACTCGGACTGCGCCTCCATGTTGAGCGGGTCGAAGAGCGGGCGCACGTCGACGGTCGAGCCGTCCCGGGAGAGCAGCGCCACCATGCGCTCTAAGTGGGCGCCGAAGCTCGCCGGGCCGTTGATCTGCGCCCGGGTGAACACGGTCTTGGCCAGGGCGCGGTGGGCGGCCCACGCCACGCCGTCCGTGTCAATGATGCACGGCCCCGCCACAGGCCTCATGGCCCAGTCGCCGTTGCCACGGGCCAATGCGAGCGCGTGGGAGTTATCCACACTACTTGTCTGGATGGCGCCCGGCCGAAGAAGGGGTTTTGCAGCTTGTGACCGTGCTTGCGGAAGTTGCCCTGGTCGAGGCTCAGGACCCGGTGCTCCTTGCGGGCTCTCCGGTTGACGAATATACCGTCTGTCACGGCGAGCGTACTGAGGAGCTGGGACATGGCCGGCAGCAAGCAGCTATTACTCTATTGACGAGAACATCAAGACTAGAGAGGAAAGGAAGAGAGAGAAAGAGATAGGTACAGTGGGAGGTTGCCCCTTTAAGGGGATCCTCTGGTCAGATCCTTCCCCTATTGGGAAGTATCCGCTTGTCATGTGGGAAGGTCTGTGCAGGCCGTCACACCGTCGAGGTTGAATATCCGGTCCCAGGGCCTCAGGATGGGGGGTGTTGGCAGCCATGGCGGTAGACGCCGACTACGTAGCTGAGACGGCTGAAAAGGCGTCGGATGGCGTACAAGGAGATGAAGAACGCGGATAGCGCCAGTACTAGACGTCAGTAGCATCTTCTAGAACTGCAGTTCAGTGGTGATCAAATAGGAAGAGAGGGAAGAAAGCAATGCTGGCTACGAAATAAGAGGAAATGGTAAAACTCGGTATATTTATACAGCTGTGTTGATTGCAACTACAAATTACACCTATCAAACAGCGTATACAGTTATATTAGTAGTGAAAAGCATATAGATTAATAATATATAACGATTGTTATTAAAAGTTTACTTTAAAGTACAATTACACCCAATATTTACTTAAATGCCTTATTATAACATTGTTATACTTTTAAACGTTATTATAACTTACCTGTTATTTAATATATCTGTTGGAACAGGCTTGAACGATCAATCATAATACTCGAGTATGGGGTCAAGGTCATGATGTTGCTGATGGTTGGATTGAGAGGTCTAGCTGGACCTGAAGGTCTGGCTAAGTGACCTCGCAATCCGGTATCTAATCACTTATCTAATCATACATGTGGGTCCTGGTATAGATGGTTTGCAGGCTGGAATCGCATGGATCCAACAATATCTTTTTAAAAATATTATCGTTATTTAACCTATTTAATAAGGTCGTTTCAAGGTTAAACACGAGGTTTTTATATCTTACAAAGCATATTAATTATAATCTTGTTTTTAAATTGATTTTTTAGTCTTTGATTTTTTATAACCGCTTATTAAGCTTCATTTAGTCTAATCGATGTGTAATATCGCTTAACCGAAAGTTAGTTGAAAGGTTTTAAAACCTTTACGTTAAAAACGCCCTAATAAGCCTGTCAACAGACATTTTATTCGTTTGAATTTACGTAACTATAACAATCTTTTTTAGATTTTTTACTGAAGCTGATAAACGTAAATAACAATGTAATAAATTTTCGTTTAAAGTTTTATAACTTCTTATACCAATAAACGAATAGTTTGCTTATTATTATGTTCAAAATCTAAAGTCTTAATTAGCTTGAAAAAGTGCTTTAAATAACTTATTTAAATATATAGCTTCTTTAACTAATTATAAATTAGTTACTAGCTTAGATTTATATTTGAAGTAATAATAATACTTTAATTATGAGCTTTTTCAATCTGTTAGCCCTTTAAAATCGTTGATTATATATCTTTAAAAACTTTTTCTATCTTTTCTATCATTTATAAAACAGGCTTCATTTATACAAAAGGTATTTAAAGCTATTTTTTATATCTAATCGCGTGTTTTAAATGTTATATATGTAGTATAATACGTGGTCGGCTGCGTAAATATATTTAATTGAACGCTTTTAATTAAGTCGGGCAAGTCTTAAAGTATCGAACGTAATATCTAGTTTTATAAAAATAACAGTGAAAAGAATCGACCTAATTTTTCGTTAGTATATTTTTAAGTTTTGTTCCATTACTTACTTATCATTGAATAATAATTCTTTCAATATTATTACGATATTTAAAGCTTTACTTTACGTTAATACCTTAAAAATATTAGCTAACTTTTTTATACATTTTTTGTCATAGCTATATAGTTAGCTCGCTTTTATCTTTAATAATATACATTTTCAACCCCTATTTTATTATTATTATTATCTTAATTTGTATTGGTTTGTAAAGCTATAATAATAATAATAATAGTAATAATAGTCTCTTTATCTCTTGTACAGTACGTAAATACCATATTATATATATATATATATTAAAGACTATAATGCGATCTTTAACTATTATACATAGTTTTTACAAGATCTTTTCTATCGTTTAAAGGCTTCAAAGTAAAGTGACTATTTTTTTAAATCTCAAGTTGGTAATATAAATCGATCTCTTATTATATACATAGCACTAAGAGCCTCGTTATCGCTTC